CCTGTTATAACTTTACTTAGCGAAACCAGCCATCCAAAAGAACGTCTCGTTATCTCAGCGCTTCCCGTTCAATCATACTCATGGTACGCCAACCCACGTCTAATGTCCATATTGTAGACGTGGAGCTCCGTTAAATACAATTAGCATGTGAGCGCAGGCTGAGGGGCGAGGGGTGGTGGGTAGTTGATGGGGCGGAAGAAAGCTTCCGTTGGGGGACGGCGCGTAGTAGAGAGAGCGAGCTCGGCGCTCTCATTCGAAAAAATTTCGCAAAGTCAGTTAGTGCAGCTTTGAATAATAACAGATACAGCTATGAGCCATATAAGGATTAAACCAATCAGATGCTCCCCCCCCCCCCCCCCCCCCCCCCCCCCCCCTCATTCGTGGGCGGAAACTCAAGATTGCCTATACAACCTTGGCTAAAGGTGATATTGGATCATTTCTGATAACACATAGACGCAACACTGTTCATTGGTTGAAAACAAAGATGTAGGGACATTTTTTGAAATCTTTTATGACATGTTTCTCTTCCAAATAGCTAAATTAGAAACAATTAGGACAATTATGTCTTTGATATAACTGTTGGCAGTTTATCTGAGACATGATTGGCGCAAGTACACACACATAAAACAATGGTCTTTTCTCCACATGAACGTGAAACAAAGGTGAAGTATTAAAGTTTGAAACTAATTTTACATTTTTAAGGAATCCGAACTGGCTTTAAAAAAAAAAAAGGGAAAAACATTTATTGCACGTGCATGAGTTTTTTTTTAGTAACAAGAGCTCATTAAAAATATAGGGGACACAGTTTGTGACAAGCCCGAGTAAAGACCACGTGGTTTAAACACTAAAGTTTGAAATGGATCCTTTTAGGAAAAATCTCTCAAAGCTTTGCATGTTCTGCAGGCTCTGAAAGTTGCAACTATAAAATAGCTCATGAGACAATTGTAATTGGACATGGAAAAATATAACAAAGTTAAAATTACAGGCCTCTTGTGTATGTCTATATGTTTGTGTATGTTATATGTTTGTGTATGTTATATGTTTGTGTATGTTATATGTTTGTGCGTCATGTCCATGTCAATACACTACGTTGACCTTAACAAACTGGACCAATACTAACGTGGGGTGTTGAGTGTGTTGTGAGTGTGTTGTGGGAGTGAAAGAGGAGTGCTGAACGGAATCATGGAATAACAAAAGTTTTCTGTAATGTTTTAATGTGATCATGGAATAATTATTTTTTGTCAACAGCATACGGTGTAAGTACTAGAGATTCAAAGATGACAAGCTTTATTGAACAGGTGTAAAAGTGAGAGTACTCTGGGATGAGTACTCTGAGAAAAGTACTCTGCGGAAAGTACTCTGAGATGAAATACCTCGCTGAAGGTACTGGGAGCCCCTCCCTCTGCTGTTTGTCCGGACAGTGATTCGGTCCAACCGCAGTGAGCGGTCATTGGGCGGAGGACAACTTTGGTTTGTAATTCACATTTAGGGGAGTATAAAATTAGAAACATACATATTGTTAAGTCTGTATTTGGCTACAGCCTCTGCCCTGATGCCACACACCGTCTGTCAATGCAGTTATGTTTTGCCCAATTGGATTGATTGACAGGCCGCACCATGCGAAGAGAGGAAAGTGGGTGTTTCTTGTGTTCTAATGTTTGTTTTTCAGATGAAAGATAAACTGCACCTGCTTCAGGGATGACAGTAGTATGAATTAAGGAAATGAGCCTCTACTTTGGCACCAAAGCCCACAATATGAATTGAGGACGATCCGGGAGGAGCAACAGGATTGGAACAGTAATCTACACACACATACAGATGCATGTTTTATACTTTGGACCACGACCAACAGAGGGGAGTATTGTATTGTCATAGGTGGTCATGGTCCTTAACCTTCTAAATCATTAGAAAGAAGTGTAAAACATATATTTACAAGAACAAATAAATAATAGAAAGGGCAGCCTAAAAAAGCAAAATGGGAAAATTATTAAGTAATTTTCGGAGTTGCCAAAATGAAATAAAATTCTATATTTGTCCCATAGGGGGTCATTCTAAATTTAGTGTTGTGCAAATTCAAAAGGAGAAATAATAGCGCTTATAACATCAAACGGATCTACTCTTTAAGATAATAGATCATATAATAATAAGATAATAATAGAATAGAATGAAATAGTCTGGAGCTATAATGTCATTGGATTCGAGGAGCTATAGGTTGAAGTGTCAGAATAAACAATAGTAATAATAGTTAGACTAGTGAATAATCAAAATAGTTCTATTGTGGAAATAAGTATCAATAAGGTCAAATTGTTCTAATAACTAAAGTAAAAAGGAATCAAATGGAGTCAGATTTTAGATGTTTCTGTTTTCCACATCTGTAGGAACTGGTGCAGAGGTGTTTATAGAGAGTAGTATTAAAATGCAGACATAGAACGACAGGCTTTAACACAATTTTAAATCTAAAAATAGCTCAAATATAACATTGCTCTTGACGCAGCCTCTGAGCTGCTCCATTGGAGAACAGGTTAAATGTTATTGTTTATTACAAACAGCTGATGTATTTACACACATTAAGTTTGGGACAACTCTTTAAACAGTTATAAGCAGTGGACAGAAGCCATGAATGTGCTTTTGTTTATTAAATAATTAATTTCATAGCCTTATAATCGTAGAGAACGTTTTAAAATAGTTAAAATCCCTTTCAGGCAACTTGATTTAGATGTATGTCTTTAATATTGGAGAACGACTGTGTTGTTTTTGGAATTGTCTGAAATACAATACATAGAATAATGATTTGCAGAACAAGAACCGGCCAATAAAAAATCGTCTATTGCCAATGCAATTGTTACAATCAGAACTCAAAAATTGGGAATATGCCTTTGCTCAAGCTGCAACCGAGCTTTAGAGTCACAATAGAGTAAAAATAGGAATAGATAAATGCATCAACCATAGATGCTTTCAAAAATAGAGATTATTTTTAGCCAAGGCTAATATCAAACGGTAAAAGGACCATTTCCTTCATATTATGTCTAAAAGTATTTACTTCAAAGGTAGATAAAGTTCATTACAGTTTATGCACAGTTTTATTAGATACTGTCAAATTCACTTGTTTCAAACATGGGTGAATGTTGACAATGCAAAAAGCTAATGAGATAGATTAATGAGATCGATTAGAACCAACACAGATTCAAAAACATTTGAAAGCATTTTAATGTATTTGGGTATAGCACAAAAGTAGATCTTTAGGTAGTTTTGAGAATTTTAAAGAGCTGTCGATTTGTCAGCAACAGATTAGAGAATCAAAATACCGTTGTATAGGGACTGACCCCAGAGAAACCTGCTAAAATGGATTAGCTCCTGTACGGATAATACCAATTTGATTAACGATGTACATTTATCCCAAACGGTCTGAGAGAAGGAAGTGACAGCACTTCCTGGTTCAACAAAATGTGTTTGGAAAAATGAGCAAAGCCCCACAAAATGGCACAGAGCCACTGATAATGACAGCAAACCACAGTATAGATAGATTTATTAGATAAAAACATATGTTTAAGAATAGGGCTCAATAAAAGCAAAATATGCAAACATATTTGTGAATAGATTAGAATAGTTTAAAACTATAGTGAATAGTTTTAGTGCATACATTACAGACGAGGTTGAAGAAGAATCAGAATGACAGCAGTGGTCATCAAAGAGTTTTGTGAAGGAATGTTTCGAATGTTGTTGTGTGTGTATTCTTTTTGTATTAATTCTTCACAGATAACGAGCCAGAACCAAGAACCAAGGCGATGATGGACGAGCTCCCCAGTCTCGGCACCCAGGAGGAATATTGAAAGATTGTGACCTAAATTGGTTTAATATAGGTCAACAGAGGGGAACTGTTGTATATTTTAATATTTGACCATTTGAACATCATAGCCAGAAAGACCTCTGTGCACTCAGGAAAAACCCCAAGGACACAGGATAATCAGACATGAGTCATAAAGATAAAATGCTGTTTAAACAGGGCGAATTATTAACTTTAAATAATAAACATTTTGACGAGGACAAAAGTACAGAACCTGATCTTGAGGCAGACTGGGAGATTCACCAACTGCATTCTGACGCCTCCCAGTGGATAGGGGACGTCAGCACACCCGGAAACCTCCACCCTTGGACGCATAAGGATGACGTCATCGGAAGTCTCCCTCATGAGCCCGTGTGTGTGTGTTTTTTGAGGTCAGACAGGACAGGGCACGGACAGGGAAAGACCAGGCAGAGAATAGGAGCACTTTTGTTGAACATTCTGTATCTGATTGTAAAGATAATTAAATGCAGATGTTAAACTTGAATATCGTTTGCCTTACTTCTGCAACCATTTTGAAACACGTTAGTCAAAGGGAATTATTGACTACACACCGTCAGGTCAGACTCACCCACCAAAAAAGTACAAAAAGCAAGGCACAAATGTTCGTCACCGCGGCCACCATCAACTCAGGTGGCCACCAATGTAGAGTACCAAACGGGAGAAGGATGAGAGACACAGAAAGAGGCAAATTGTAGTTGGAGACTCCCAAAAAGTGAGGTCCCCATTTATTTATAGAGGACCAAAACCCGCGAAACATAGGTCACAAGGTATAATAAGTATAAGTATAATACTAAAAAGTCGTTCACAACAACAATAGACACAGTCCCTCCGTGTCCTGGGTCTTCCCCTGGTATGGGGACAGGTGGGACATGTCCAGAACACCTCCCCAGGGAAGAGACCAGGAGGCATGCCAAACAGATGAGCCACCTCCACTGGCTCTTCTCCACGCGGGGGAGCAGCGGTTCTACTCCGAGCTCCTCCGATCTGACTGAGCTCGTCACTTTTTCATTATTCAATCTATTTTGATTTATGAATATATATACATTACTTTACCCCATATGTTTACTCTCCTCTCCATTTCTCTTCCGCTTACGTTTATTTTTACTTTACGTAATGTATTTTGGCCTTCCTTTGGTTCCGTACTTGTCCTGGTGTCATGGCGGCTGCAGAATGGTCCCGTCGCTCGCAGAGTCTGAAGGGTGTGATCCTGGACATGTGCGGGGTCCTGTACGACAGTGGGGCCGGGGACGGAGTGGCGATCCCCGGGTCTGTGGAGGCCGTGCAGAGGTGCGGACCGACCCGGGACTAACCGCGTTAAACTGCTGACATGTGCGCGAGGACCGGAGTTAGCTGTTAGCATCGTTAGCATGCTGGATGTAAACAGTAGCTTCTCTAACGCCCACTTCTTCAACTGCTGCAAATGTTTGAGGAAATATTGAATCACACACACAGCTTTATATACTTTCATCTTGACTTTATAATTAAATGACAAACCCACCTCTGGCTGCGTCCGAATTTGTATTTGTTTGTTTGAATGGGTCAGTTTTTTGTTTATGAATGAACAGCAGGAGCTTGAGTCCCACAGTCACAAGCTCCAGCTGTACTCACCAACACTCATTCAACCCTCACCTCTTGAACATGTTTTAGTAGTCATGGTAACCGGAGACACAAGAAGAACATGCAAACTCCACACAGAAAGGTCTGGAAATGAACCTACAACCTTCTTGCCTTGAAGTGTACTGCGCTCATAGCTCATTAAAGCTGGGTTACCTGACTTTCAAACTACAGAAAATAGCATTAGAGTCCTTGTCACTGGTTTCTGGGTTGGTTCTAAATCAGGGAGAGAGAGAGACCAAAGAGAGTCTATTCTTGTGTCTTGTGTGCTATACAACTAAACTGTTGTGCAGGTTGAAGCAGTCGGATCTGCAGCTGCGGTTCTGCACAAATGAGACCCAGGCGTCGAGGGAGACGTTTGTGGCAAAGCTGAACAGATTGGGCTTTGACATCTCTGTGGATGAAGTGTTCTCTCCTGCTCCTGCTGCTGTGGCACTGCTGAAGGAGAGAGGACTGAGACCCCACCTGCTGGTGCACCATGGTACTGCAGCAGAGACCAGAGAGAGACCAGAGAAAGACTAAAGAGCTCTTCTACTTTCTTCAGGTTTGTTGCCAGAGTTTGAGAGTGTGGAGCAGAAGGATCCAAACTGTGTGGTTCTGGGAGACGCGGCAGAGTTCTTCTCGTACCAGAACCTGAACCAGGCCTTCAGAGTCCTGATGGGGCTGGAGGCTCCTCTGCTCTTCTCTCTGGGACAGGGGTGAGAGCCCCAGGGTGTGACATTTATCTGGTCTCTCTTTGGTCTCCCTCGGTCTCTCTCTGGTCTCTCTCTCTGGTGTCTCTCTGGTCTCTCTTTCTTCTCCCTCTCTGGTCTCTCTCACACATAGTTATGTGTGGTCTCTCTCACATAACTATGTGTTCTTTGCAGGAGGTACTATAAAGAGGGCGACGGCCTCAATCTGGACGTGGGAGTTTACATGAAGGCGCTCGAGGTAAAAGAACTTAAAATTTAAATAACAACGGGAAATACATAACTTTCAAACCACAAAAAATAGAACGATAATCAACTAGTTACTGCCTCTATAACAGTTTTCATTTCTCTCTGGCCTCTGTCGAAAGTGACAAAGAGAGGACCACCCTCACTCAGCTCCCAGCCCAAAGAGTCAGATAGTGACTCACAGGGATCTGACGAAAACAGTGTCTGATTTTACAGGACTTTTTTTAAATCTGAGACAAAGTCAGGTATCTCAGCTTTAAAGGCCACAGCTGATGCTCCATATATATAATTGTCCATATATATGTATGTATATGTATATAAATATGCATATGAAGTATTAGCTGTACTTCTACTGTGTGTACATATGCTGTGTACAGTTTGCGTGTGACGTCAAAGCGGAGGTGATCGGAAAACCTTCTTCCATGTTCTTCCACAGCGTCCTGAGAGACATGGGACTACAGCCACATGAGGTACTCTACTCTAGTTCTGGTCTCTCTGGTTTCTCTCTGGTTCTGGTTTCTGTCCTCTAGGGGTCGGCGATAAATATTGTAGACAATAAAATCGCTTAAAATGTTAATGTTTGTTTGTGCATGTTTTGCAAAGATGTGTGAAGCGCTTCAGAAATAGAAAGCTGCTATTGTGATCTACACTGTCTTTATCTAGATGCCCGGGCAAGCAAAACATTACAGATCATTTTGTGTAAAAATGATTGATTTTAAAGATATTGTGACAATATCGTTATCGGAAGTATTTTGGCCCATATCGCTCACCCATACTGTCCTCTCTCTGGTTGCAGGTGCTGATGATCGGAGATGACTTGGTGAACGATGTGGGAGGAGCTCAGAGCTGCGGCATGATGGGAGTCCAGGTGCGCACGGGAAAATACAGGTACTGTGTGTGTGTGTCTGGCCCCGTCCCAATACTCGCACTTCCACCCTCGCGCCCCTCATTTGCGCGTTCCCGATGATGGGTGCGAGTGCGTAGGGTGTCCCGATTCTCCAGGGAGGTCTTTGGCCCCACCTTCCTTGCGCCCCTGATCCACACTTCGCCGTAGCCTGTATCTATGCGCACTCTGGCGAAGGATATTGCCCATAATTCTTTGCGGTACACACCAAAACGTCGGGAAAATGCATTTAAATATACATTTTGAAATATATATGCAGTATGTGTGTAAATAAGTTTTTCTATGTTACTTGGAAAGAAGCATAAACGTCTGATGAAGAATTACGGACATAGTGTTTTAACAATTTAATAACGTTTTAAAACAAGCGTTTATATAACATTCCATTTAAACTTTACACTTTACAATAATCTTAGAATGTATAAAAACTGACCAGATAGTTAGTTTCCCACATTTAACTAAAAATTATACAGCTATCTCTAATTAAAAACAACTAATATACATGTATTTTAACGTGTGTGAAGCAATTCATTTTGTTTCCCAAAGGGTCAGACAAAATTACCTTTAATGTTTATAAAGTTTGGGTCTGAAAATGACCATCTCTTGACGAGTCGATGACGTAACCTGCACTCAGTGTGCACTGTCCCAATTCCGCCTTTTTGCACACTTGTAACCTGCGCACTCCAACCCTGCTGTGCACTTCGAACAAATGCACACTTCTTAGAGGTGTGTAGGGTGCAGTGTGGGTATTGGGATTGGGCCTATGTGTCTGTCTGTCTGTGTAACTGTTGCGTGTCTAAACTGCAGTTCTCAAATTCGTCCACTTGAGGGCGTTGGTGTCATAGTGCGACAACAGAGGAAGGGATTGTACTGAAACTTGCTCCTGCTGTTTTTTATGCTTGTGATCTAGGGACAACAGCAGTAACTCTCTGGTCTCTTTCAAGTCTCTCTCTCTGGTCTCTCCCTGGTCTCTCTCTGGTCTCTCTCTGGTCTCTCCCTGGTCTCTCTCTCTGGTCCCTCTCTGGTCTCTCCCTGGTCTCTCCCTGGTCTCTCTCTGGTCTCTCTCTGGTCTCTTTCAAGTCTCTCTCTCTGGTCTCTCTCTGGTCATAAATGTAGTTTCCTGTTGTGTTACAGACAGAGTGATGAGAGCCACGCTTCAGTTAGAGCTGATGGGACTGAGGCCGATCTCAGGCGAGCGGTGGATCTCCTCTTGGTCCACAGGGATGCGCCTCGGACCTCCTCCTGATCCACAGGGGGAGTGACGAGCACAATACATACAAATCAAATGTATTTGTATTAAAAAATTACTATATATTTATAACTATAGCACTTAGATCTGTCAAAGCTGCTAATACATGACTACCACCACTACTACTGTTGTGAAAAACTCTTAGATTTATCTGTGACTGAAAAGCCATTTTTCAATAAATTAAATCTTGAGTAATAGTTTTTCCATTATTATGCGATCACCCCTGGTCTATGGTCTCTCTCTTTGGTGTCTCTCTTGTCTCTTGGGTCTCTCTCTGCCTTCTCTGGTCTCACTCGCTGGTCTCTCTCTGAAGTTTTGAAAATAAGTTTTGAGGTGCTCCTGTCTTCCCTGTGGTGAGAATCTGACATGGGTCTGAACACAGTCTTGGCAGAGGATCCCCCCAACCCTTCTGAGCACTGACAACATTTCAAACTCCGCTTCCTCCTTGTTTCGTGTGTTTAACCTCATTTTCTGTAATTGGGGAATAATGAAGCGCTGAAGTGGACGTAACGCCGGCTCTAGGGTTTTGTCCAGATCACAGGGGCCCATTGTCCCATGGCCCAGATCCAGACTTGGTCCAGACCTGGTCCAAGTCCAGACAAACTGGCACCAGACACAAACTGAGACTGAACCAAGACCGAACCGGGTCTACAGTGGTCATACATGCTGCCATTGTTCCAAATTGTTGCATTTCCAAAACAGACCAGTTAGAGACCAGTCGAGTCTAGAGAGAGAGACCAGAGAGAGACTATAGCCTGGTCTTACCATACCATCGTACTCATTTAGTACATGTAGGGGAACTATAATTGACTGGTGGTTTACGTATGGCTAAGGCCAGGCTAGAGAGAGACTTAAGTTGTACTTATTAGGAAATCCAATGTAGTTTTGGAACTGAGGCTTTGATGCCAGTCCTTTCCTGGTCCAGTTCTTGTCCAATCCTGGTCCAGTCCCGGTCCTGATCCATTGGAACAAAGGGCTCTTTCTGCAGCGAGGCCAGAGACACGAGCGGACGACCAAAACATGCAAATGAGATGAAACTTTGACGTAGTGATGTGAGCAGGAGGCAGAGGTCACCGTTCTATGGACAAATGTCACTGAAGACAGACCAGAAAGCGACCACGGAGAGGCCAGAGATTCAATATTCAAGAATTTAGTTTCCATTTGCAATAAAACCACATTGGAAAAACTATGCAAGACTACCACAGTGTGCCTTAGATAGCACATGCCAGAGCTCTTGCCACAGCGCTATATTTTCAGTGCCATGCGACAGAGAGACCAGAGAAAGAGTGAGATACAGAAAGATCAGATTGACTGTATGACCACAGAGAGAGAGCCTCTGGTTCAGAAAAGAGGTCTTGGAGATTGTGGCGACTACGGTGACGTCAACTCTGGATGAACACGTCTTTCGGGTCGTGGACTCTTAAGTTTGTGACGTTTGGACAGAAACAGTTGGATCTGTGTGAGAGAGACTGAGGCAGAAGGGGGGATGAGAGGAGGGACGGAGAAGGGTGAGAGGCAGGAGAGGGAACAGTCTCAGCAAGAACAACCAGAGAGGAAGAGGCAAGAAGTGCCGTTTCTCCAAGAACAAAGGAACTAAAAAAGCCGTAATTTAGACACAATACTGGTTTCAGTCTCTCTATGGTCTGTACAATAGAAAAATCTCACAATAACACACAAACCAGAACAGTTACAGATGTTTATTTTAATATAAAACATGTATAAAACAACATATTAAACTGAACCAGAGCGGACGACTCGGACAGAGGACTCTGCTGTGACCCTGTTTCTTCAGTTCGTGTCTTGAATCTTATCAAAGTGAAAATAACTGTTGTGGAACATTGTCCTTTAAGCTGCCATTCGTTAGCCTCTGTTAGCTTCTGCGCTAACTGCTAATGCTAACGTCATATCTGCGTTCGTAAAGACAGAGATCCCTTTTCAGTTTCTTTCAATTTGTTCAATGTCCAGCTCTCCTCCCAGGGCACTGAAGCTGCTCCTCCTGGTCCACACAGTCTCTCCGTGTGTCGGGGGGGTCGTCACTTCCACGGCGGGACACAGAGGAGCAAGCGCTGATGTGAAGGTGTTTGGTTTGTGTGAGTCTGAGATCTGAGACCGACAGCTGAGACTGTGGAAACTCTGCAGCTTCTGTCCACAAACACACAGGAAGTGATGTCATTCTCAGCACAGTACAAGAACACTCATGTTATCACTCCGGTGTCTGGTCTCTGTCTCGGTCTCGGGTCTCTGGTCTTACCTGTGTCATCTTTGTGAGATCAAGTGATGGTCTGGTCTCCTCCTGCCGTCTCCTCTTCATTGCGAGTCTCCGGTCGTTTACACAGGACTGGGACTGACTCCAAGGGGGAGAGTCCGGACTGGAAAGGGGGGAGTCCGGACTGGAGGGAGGACAGCAGAGGGGAGGAGGGCTGAGGCTGGAGCTGAGGCTTCGGTGGATCAGAGGAAAGGTGAACCCTGAGGACGACAGCGGGACACTGCCTCCGCTGTGACATCGTCGCTTCTTCACAGATGTCCAGAGACCAGACCCCTGAGGCAGAGACAGATACTTTCAAGACTCAAAGGGGATTCTTCTGGAACACACTCTCTCCTCTCTCTCTCTGATCTTGTCTTGAGGTGAGTACATTTAAAAACAAAAGCGTTCCAAGGTGCGAGCCCTGAGGAACCCCAGAGTAAGTCTGCTGTTTTTAGTGAACACATACACTGGGATATGTCCAGGAGCGTTTTATTAGCTTTATTTTCTTATCCTGTTAAAATAAACATTAAACAAACCGTCACCTGTGGACGCCACATGGATTGTCCCAGATTGTCAGAGCAGGAGAGAGAGCGACACTGACGTTTGGTAGGGGGCGCTGTGGTGAGGCTGAGGTCCTGCAGCAGAGAGGAGATCATGCTGCAGTGACCAGGACTGGCCTCCAGTGGGCTCCACACGACCGGAGCAGCAGTCCACCGGTTCATGTCTGCAGAAAGAGAAATTAGATGATCAAAGCATTTTTACTGTAACAGAGAGACCAGAGAAAGACCAGACTAGGGCCTGGTCTTTCTCTGGTCTCTCTTTTCTCTTTAGACCAAGTTTAGATCTGATGTATTTATCTAAATGGTCGATTAATTTCAAATGTTTCAAAAGTTTTGATTCACAACGACTCCATTCAAAGCATTTCTTACTGAAAAAGGATGCAGACGATTTCAATCTGTGACAGTCGCATTTGGAAACACGCAAAACTAATGCGAGTTCAGACTGTGACAGAGAGAGAGGGAAGAGAGGAGGGAGGGGAGAGAGGAATTTAAGTAATATTTCTGAGTCCGGTTCTTACCTCTGAACACACAGGAGAGCCGAGCAGTGCTTTGGCTCATGCTCTGGACGGCGACCTGTCGACAAAGACAAATATATCATGAAATGATTTAAACATTATACAGAGATGGAATGAGAGGGAGGACAGGGAGGAGATGAGAGGAGAGCGGAGGAGGGGACTATAATATATTAGGGCTGTCAAAATTATCGCGTTAACGCACGTTAATTAATTTTGTTCATTAATCGCGTTAAAAAAATTAACGCATTTGACGCATGCCCATGCGTCCCATAATAACACTCAGAATGCCGCGGACACATGCGTGTGTAAGATGGGACAGAGCAGGTCTCTGGGAATTCAAGTTTTGAAAGAATACACGCGTGACCGCGGGGCACTTGTAGTTTCCTGTATGAACTCTGCATGATGAGCTGCGGGCGCCACAGCGCTCTGGACCGTTCCCACTTCCAGCGGCTGTGATCCCGGTGAACGGCGCTGCGTAATGGGATCATATCCAAGACCACGCACAGAACTATTACAGAACTATTCTCTAGTGTGCGTACGTGTCTTTGCGTAACCGATGCACACAATATCTACAGCGCTGAAGCTGGACTGCGGAGCCTCAGTCTCCTCCGTGTCTTCTCCCAAAGCGCACTCGCTAAATTAAAGCTGAGGTACCTAATTTTCCTTTCGACTACCAGTTCATGTTAGTTGTGCCAAAAAAAGTAATGGTGTGAGCAAATCAAACAGATTTAATGACATTCTGCTTCAGACTATTTTGAAATGTCCCTCATCTGTAACAAACAATGGTTTTGGTCTGAGTCTAAACAGAAAGACAGAATGTTAATAATGTTAATTCCATTTTATGTGGATTTATTGTTGTAATAAACAAATACAGTATATATGTTCACTAAGCTGTCATTTATCTTGCCATTCAAACAACCATTTACAGAAAAATATGGCATAATTTTGCCAATAGTTTGAAATGGGATTAATTACGATTAATTATTTTTTAAGCTGTTATTAACTCGATTAAAAAAAATTATCGTTTGACAGCCCTATAATATATATATCATTATTATTATTAATATTATTGTTAAAATGACAAGTGAATATTGGTCCCTCTCTGGTCCCTCTCACCGGTCCCACACTGCTGCTGGTGCTGGTGCTGGTGCTGCTCTTCTGGTTCTTCTTACAGATGACCACCATCTCCACACACATGTCCGTTCACACCGTCACAAATAAATCCAGAAGGAGAAAAATATCTCACAGTTTCTCATAACTTCAGGATCCTCCCAGAAACAGGTCTTGACCAGAATCCTGCAACGACACAAAAAACACACCACAGACCATCACAAGCTGACTCAGGGCACATGGTTCAGGTGAATAGGACTGGTGTAGGAGACAAGGAGACAGGAGACAAGGAGAGAGGAGACAGGAGAGAAGAAAGGAGAGAGGAGACTTTTCTTGTGCAGGCCTCTCTCCTGTTTCTGCCTCTTCATCTGTAACTGGTACAAACCATATTTTAATAAATGATTTGGTTCAGACTCACAGCGGATGAGATGTTTCAGCATCTCCTGCACTCATCAAACTCCTGCCCCTAACCCCCCCTCACAGAATGCTCCATGTTGAATCTGTTAAATCAGATACACCAGGAAATGGAGAAAAGGTTTTCCTCTGGTTTCTCTCGTCTCTAGTGATAGAACAGACTGACATGATTTTTTTTATTACATACAGTTCCATAGTTGTAGTTTGAAAGTTTTGTACCCCAGCATTAGTTTCACGTTTTACTATAGTTCTCATGTTTCTAAAGCAGTTTCCCCACATGGTGCTTCTTTCTGGTTTTGTGCTGGTTTTAAAGAACACATGTCTGTTCTTTGGCTCGATTGGATGCAGACTCCTCCGGCTGTAATCCGAGGGGCCCTAATGTCGGATCAGCTCTTTGTGTGCGACAATTAGAGTTAAAGCTAATGCTAATACAGTTATGTACGAGAGACAGCTGCTGCCACAGGGGAGGTGGAGGAGGAGAGAGGGGAGAGCGGGAGGAGAGAGGAGGTGGAGAGGAAGAGGAGAAATGAGAGCGGGAGGAGAGAGGAGGTGGAGAGGAAGAGGAGAAGAGAGAGAGGGAGGAGAGAGAGAAGGAGGAGAGAAGAGGAGGGGAAGGGGAGAGAAAAGAAGCTGAGAGGAAGGAGATAAGCGACAGGAGCTTAGAGTAGAGCTGCTGCTCCAAAACGAGCCAGTGGGAACGTTGTTCTTTGGGGAAGACACTCAGGAGGAACTATGGCCCTGTTTCCACCATATACTCTGCTCTGCTCCTCTAGGAGGTGTGGTCCACTGTGTGGTCCAACCTCCTGCTCTGTGTCTCTGCTCTGTGTGGACCACAGAGCAGCTGCAGGGCTCAGACAGCAGGAGGACCAGGAGGAGTCCTGGAGCGGAGCCAAACTGGAGGCAGCTGCTTACTTTCCATAAACACAAAGACGAGGGAGCTCCATTCAACTGTACAATGAGCAGCGGCTGCAGCGCGAGCTCAACATACACCAGGAATTTACATGTCAGAGACCAGAGAGAGACCAGAGACCTGAGAGAGAGACCTGACATGCTGGAGTGAACTTAGAAGCATCAATACTGACTATGAGTTTTTGTAAGCTCTCAGTCGTACAGGGATCAGTCAAAGCAAAGGAAGGTTTCTCACCCATCATACATACTTCTAGCAGGTTTTCCCAGGTTTGGGAAAACCTGCTAGGAGTACAGATGATGGGTGAGAAACCTTCCTAATACTGACTATGAGTATCTTCTTCTAATTATGAAAGTGATCGCTTTAGTGTTCAGTGGAGATGATGTTGTGTGAAGCTGTGTTTGGACTCTCCCCACAAACTAAATACATCAAAAAAACTATTACTGCAACTGGTCTCGCTTTCTTTCTCATGTTTCTCTGTCTCTGTGATCTCTCTGTGGTTTGTCTATGGTCTCTCTCTCCGAGGTTTATCTGTGGTCTCTCTCTCTTTATCACTCCACAGTCAAACTCATTTGCATGTAATGACGTCAGACCGGTGACATTATTGAAAATTCAAAAACTAGCTTAAACTGCGCACAAGCCGCTAATTAAAACTTCTAGATTCGTCAAAAAACAGCACTTACAGACATCGTGTGGAGACTTTGTGATGTCCTGAAGGTGTGAGGAGGACTGCTGGAGTCTTGTAATTGTTTATAGTTGTTTGGTTTTGGCGAAAAAAAGTTGTAAATTGTGCAGAAAAACAGGCACTGGAGCGACAGCGTTATAAGCACTGAGCTGCTGTGGTCCCACTACAGAGAGCACACGCGGACCGTACCAACTCCCGCACAGGGGTCGACACTGTCATTTTTACATGTTAATGTCTTTACTCACTTGTTTCCTTCACGTATTCGATTGTATGTGTCATTTACAGCTGTTTATCCAAGTTTTGTGGTGTAAACAGTGATGTGAATCGTGTTATTTTGGACACGTGAACATGCTAGCATCCCCGCGGTGCAAACTTTTGGCGTAGTCCGCCCCAGGCAATGAAAAGCAATTAGAGTAGTTTTGACTTGTGTGTTTACAGTGGATAAAACTGAACCAGGGCCAAGCAAGACTAAATCAGGTCTAAAGCATGGTCTACAGCAGGACTAAACCAGTTCTAAACCAGGTCCAACTTGAACAATTTGTCGTAATATTTCACCTCTAAACTTAGACCAAAAACCAACAAATCCATGGTTCCCTTTCTCCAAACACGTTCCAACGTTCCAGATGAAAACCAGGAAGTGTGCGAATATAACAATCTTTGGGGAAAATCTAAAATAAATATCTTTATGTAAAACAGATGTGGCGGCGGTGAGGTGAACGCAGAGACAGGAGCAGGTCTGTGTGCACCTTTTATAGATGTTTATATCAGAAAAAACAGACATGATAGCTTTGAACTGATGGTTACTTTTGCTCTGACTGAAAAAGGAACCAGGACAATCTGCGGTGGGTCTGGGCCATATTCCCAAGATTAGAATCATCACTCATTGCTGGTGGTTGTGTGATGCCATTTCTTTTTGAATAAACTTAAAATATAACAAGTTCTTAATGCAGTTTGTTACAGCGAGGAGTCTTTCTTAGATGAGGTACTTTATCCTCTCTCTTTCTTCAGTCTCTGTTATCCCGGATGGTAAAGCAGCCCAGTCTTCTCCAGTTCCTGAGCTGCAGCAGTATTATGCTAGTAGCAGTAGCATTAGCATTGGTAGCAGTTCTACAGTATCTTCAGTGGGTGTGTTTCTGTGGTGTTAATCAAGTTTTAACATCTGCTGTTGAAGTTAATCCGTCTGCAGACACCTCCTCACCCACCCTCACCCTAATCCAGACCCTCCTCCTGTCCCCTGTCTAGGCCGCTTTGCAACAGGTCACACAACTTTAAACTATGTACAGAAACAGGCACACAACCTCCTCACACCAACACACTCCCTATGTTAAAACTCACAATTCATTTTAAAAACAAAGACACAGAGTACAGTGTGTTGTCTATTAAAAGGCACCAATGAAGAACAGATCCTGAAACAACTTAACAGTGAGAAAAATGCAGCAACAGAACATGTGATTGAAGTTTTAATCCAACGGCAACAATGGTCCCTCTCTGGTCTCAGTGGTCTCATTCTGGTCTTGAGTTTCTCTTGGGTCTCTCTCTGGTCTCTAAAAATGACACAATCTCCCTTCCACTTGTCTCATAAACAGAGGTATTTATTCCACATAAATACCTCTGTTTTTATTCAATTCAGTGCATTTAACAGATTCAAGTACGACAAAAAAAAAACATTTTATGATAAAGTTGTGCGAAGGATTAAGATTATTGAAATCTCACACAAACATCTCAAACATTTAAATAAATAATATATATATATATATATATATTCCCTTTTCCCATAAGTGCTATGAAAGCTGAGGTACCTAAATATCTTGGAAAGAAAAGATTTTGTGTTTTGGAAAGACTTCTGGGTCCGCAGCCTCAGGCCTGGGTCCGCAGCCTCAGGCCTGGGTCCGCAGCCTCAGGCCTGGGTCCGCAGCCTCAGGCCTGGGTCCGCAGCCTCAGGCCTGGGTCCGCAGCCTCAGGCCTGGGTCCGCAGCCTCAGGCCTGGGTCCGCAGCCTCAGGCCTGCAGCCTCAGGCGCAGCCTCAGGCCTGGGTCCGCAGCCTCAGGCCTGGGTCCGCAGCCTCAGGCCTGGGTCCGCAGCCTCAGGCCTGGGTCCGCAGCCTCAGGCCTGGGTCCGCAGCCTCAGGCCTGGGTCCGCAGCCTCAGGCCTGGGTGTCCAATGTGTAAATTCCCCTTTTCACAGTTTGATGAGGAACCACTGCTTAAAGTCTCATAATAAATATTTAAAACGTGTCCAAAGCCGACGTTGTTTCTATCTCTTTGCAGACTTCAGCTCCTGGTCCTGGTCCTGGTCCTCCTTCTCCATGTGTCTCTGCAGCTCCTGGTCCTGGTCCTCCACCTGGTCCTCCTCCTCTATGTACCTCTGCACAGACCTCCAGAGGGCCCTGATGTTGCCTTCTCCAAACCCAGACGCTCCTCTCCTCTCGATCAGCTCCAGGAAGAACGTGTCCTCAGAGAACAGAGGCTGAGTGAAGACCTGCAGCAGAAATCTACAGAGGGGAGAGAGGGAGGGGAGAGGGAGAGAGAGAGAGAGAAAACCATGAATAAATATTATTTGGATCGTCCTAAAAGGCATTTATGAACCCGGCAGTGGTATTAAAATAGTTTCCTTGTATTGACATAAATAACCACTAGGGGGCGTGCTCTCTCCTCACTGTGGGGAACATCAGAGGAAACAGGTCTCTCTGTCCTCTGTGGGAGTCTGTTTTATTTAGATGACGATGAAGATGATGATGAAGAGTACCTGGGCAGCTGTCTTTCTCTCCCCTCCGTCCTCAGGTCAGTGTCCAGCAGAATCCCAAACCGAGACAATAGCTCAGGACTGAGTCCAGCGGCACAGATCTGCTGCTTCTTCTCCTCCTGACACACAATACAACACAATTAACATATACAACACAATATAACACTTTCAGACTGGAACTCTGAGCATTTTGGGACATTTACACTGATACTCTTCACTTTGTCATGTTGTAGAATGAGACATATTCTATAAATAAAAAATATGGAGTAAGTGTGAAAAGTCAATAATGCTTTCTGACTAGCTCCCTCTGCTGCCACCAGAGGGAGGAGGAGACCGGCGAAAGCACAATCTTTCAATTAAGTTGAGTGTGAGAAAGTAATTTATCGGCAATACTTTTGAGAGGGAGGACAGTTCTACTACTACACCTCTGTGTAGTAGGCCTGGGTAGGACCGTTACCTCTATGTAGTAGGCCTGGGGAGGACAGTTACAGTGCCTTGCGAAAGTATTCGGCCCCCTTGAACCTTTCAACATTTCGCCACATTTCAGGCTTCAAACATAAAGATATAAAAATTAAAATTTTTGTCATGAATCAACAACAAGTGGGACACAATCGTGAAGTGGAACGAAATTTATTGGATAATTTAAACTTTTTTAACAAATAAAAAACTGAAAAGTGGGGCGTGCAATATTATTCGGCCCCTTTACTTTCAGTGCAGCAAACTCAGTCCAGAAGTTCAGTGAGGATCTTTGAATGATCCAATGTTGTCCTAAATGACTGATGATGATAAATAGAATCTCAAACAAGGAGAAGACTGATCAGAGATGCAGACAAGAGGCCTATGATCACTCTGGATGAACTGCAGATAACTACAGCTGAGGTGGCAGAGTGGGACGGAGATTTATCTTCCAACAGGACAATGATCCAAAACATAAAGCCAAATCTACAATGGAATGGTTCACAAATAGACGTATCCAGGTGTTAGAATGGCCAAGTCAAAGTCCAGACCTGAATCCAATCGAGAATCTGTGGAAAGAGCGAAAGACTGCTGTTCACAAACGCTCTCCATCCAACCTCACTGAGCTCGAGCTGTTTTCCAAGGAAGAATGGGCAAGAATTCCAGTCTCTCGATGTGCAAAACTTATAAGAGACATACGCCAAGCGACTTGCAGCTGTAATTGCAGCAAAAGGTGGCGCTACAAAGTATTAGCGCAAAGGGGCCGAATAATATTGCACGCCCCACTTTTCAGTTTATTTGTTAAAAAAAGTTTAAATTATCCAATAAATTTTGTTCCACTTCATGATTGTGTCCCACTTGTTGTTGATTCTTGACAAAAAATTTAATTTTTAAATATTTATGTTTGAAGCCTGAAATGTGGCGAAATGTTGAAAGGTTCAAGGGGGCCGAATACTTTCGCAAGGTACTGTACCTCTGTGTAGTAGGCCTGGGGAGGACAGTTACCTCTGTGTAGTAGGCCTGGGGAGGACAGAAGAAGCGGACACCAGCTCGGCTCATGGTCTCGGCGGTCGACAGGATGTTGCTGGTGTAGAGGCCAATGTGCTGGATTCCTGGTCCTCTGTGCTGATCCAGGAACCGGTCCACCTGGTTATGGCCTGAGGAGAGAGGGAAAATACACACAACAATATAATGTTAACATACTGATAAGAATTTTTTATTGCTTGCTTGCAATTGACGTCACGTCCGCCTCATTACGTATGCGTATCACGAAGTGGTGGTCAGCCGAGCTAGTTGTTCACTAGAGCAGCGTGTCTGAATATGTCTTTTGCATGTGTTGTTTTAAGTTTTCTAACCGATCGAATCGTGAAACCTTTAATGGATACTTTAGGATTCCTTGTAAAGAGATTAATAAAGAGCCTCGCACAAAGGACTTTACGAAAAGACGCAGGAAAAGTGGCTCGCCAACATTTCACTAGCAAATGCTTTTACCTCTAAGGATTATTTATTTACCCAGCCATAGAGTCACAATGCTCAGTTTTAACATCCCCATCTTTATTTAATTAATGGTCAGGTATGAGTTGGCGTTTTAAATAAACACTGTGAATGTTTGACCTGAAAAGAACACAGCCACATACGCATTGTTTTGTTGAGAATGATAAGTTCATACCAATCCTTACTTACACGGCTCTGTACGATGCAGGATGTGTCCTTCAGGACCTTAACTCTGAGTTCTTAAACCCACAGACAGACGGAAAAGTTGCAGTATCCGTGCTTATCCAAACCTTCATTTGTTTAGCAGTGCAAAAGCTTGATTGTAACACTAGCTCTTGGGTTAGAATCTAAAGTGAATAAAATGACAGTCTAGGATCTTGTCTTTAATTCAGACAGAAGACATTTTTTATTGTCGATGGTAGAGGCAGCATAAACAAAGACGTTACAGAATGTAAGTGACATACAGCGGAGGAATGGAGACTTATTAGCATATTAGCATATTAGCATTTACCACTGTGCCAGTAGCTTCAAAGTGTCATGAAATATCCAAAAAAGCAAAAAATACTCGGAAGAGTCGCATTTTCTTCATATATCAGCAGCAACTCTTGCTGGCCTGACCACCACTCCGTCAACCGGAAGTTTATGTGTCACGTGATTGCAAGCAAGCAATAGGTAGCTCAGGAACATTGCTGATAAACAGTCTCTGGTCCAAACCATAGATGACAATGCTAACCTGCTAGCTAAACTACACGGTCCATGGTCTCAGTCTCGGTCTCTCTCTGGTCTGGTCTCTCTTTAAATACATAAGATTAAATCACCTTTTTCTGGGAGAGACTCTGCGATGACAAACTTGCAGTCTGGCTCCCCCTGGTGGACAGAGGGCAGCATCAGGCCTCTCTGGCTGCACTTCCAGTATTGCATCGCTGTGAGCCTCAGTCCGATCCCGTCCTGGTCCAAGACCAGACCCTCCTCTGGGTCCTCGTTACTGAAACAGAGAGGAGAGGGTCTCTTTTTCATTGGAGAGCCACTTTTATCAAAAAGAAACGGCAGAGAGTTACTCCTCTAGCTGTCATACAATAATAGTCTATAATAACGACAGCCGTCACAGAGAACACACATTATAACATTATACAGTCGCCTGCATTAGATCTATAGTTCAAACATAAACTCAAAAGTGAATAATTCAGGATCATCTGTTACATTCTTGAATCCTTACCTCCCTGAAAGGGGGTGGCGAGCTAAAGGTAGCTCCCGAACCACAGGTTGGGGACTCCTGTTCTAAAAGGACCAAGTCTTCACACACGCAGCCACAACTGCTGGGATTAGATTCACAAAGAAAAGAGAAAGACCAGCGAGACTCCAGCGAGAGAGACCAGATAGAGAGAGGGAATAAAGAGATACCAGAGAAAGACCAGTTTTGGAATATTGTCACCACTACTAGCCGAGGAAAATAATGAGATGTGTCTGTTTGTCTGTGTGTCTGTGTGCGTGTGTGTGTGTGTGGTTCATTACCTGCCGATGAAGAAGCGTTTGAAGCCGAACATGGTCTCGTACCACTGCAGGGCGGTGTGTGTGAACCTCTGAGGACACGCATATGTGATGTGGTCAAAGTGTGTGACCGGACACGCCTCATCCTCAGGCTCCTCCCCCTCCTGGAACACAAACAGTCCTCTTTAATTTGGCTTGACAGTGATGCTGTCAGCACTATCCTCTCCTCTCACTACTTTATCTGCAGCCTCAGGCCCTGTTTATACTGAGACGGTGCGCAGACGTTTCCAGGCTATTAACAGAAACGACCTGGCTCCTAATGCAAATTTCTCAGCGTTCACATGAGTTGAAAAACGATGTAGTTCTAGCGCCCGGCCAGTAGTGGGCAGAGAAACTTTACAACACTCACACGACCCCCAGCCCCGTGCCCAGCCCCCCTCTCGGCAGTGTACTCACTTCCTGTGCCAGACCCTCAGAATGCACCAACATCATTCTGCATTTTAACAGCAGCTGTGAACATGGAAACTGAACCTAGAGCTTCGCGTGGTCTCGTTTGGACGAACGAAGGAGTAGAATTATCCTCTGTCCCGCGCTGGAAGCCCACGTAGCTAGTTTGTGTGGGCGGCGCCATTATTGTTGATGATTGTTCTCCGCTACTGCGCATGTCCAAATTTACGTGCGGGGAGCAGCGCGGAGGTGGGGGTCAGAGCAGAGGGGGATTTCACACCTTTTTCCCTCTCGCGGGTGTGAAAGAGCTCCCTGCTGTGCAGCGTTTCTGAGTTGTCCCACTCTGCAGGCTGGATCTGAACACTTACGTTTTCACCCCCCTGGAACACAGTCTTCGTATGAACGGTTGGTAGCAACCGACATCCAACTATACCGTTTTACTGCCACATTGTCTCCGTGTAAACTCAGCCTCAGTCTAGGGTCTACAGCCTCAGTCCAGGGTCTACAGCCTCAGTCCAGGGTCTACAGCCTCAGTCCAGGGTCTACAGCCTCAGTCCAGGGTCTACAGCCTCAGTCCTGGATCTACAGCCTCAGTCCTGGATCTACAGCCTCAGTCCAGGGTCTACAGCCTCAGTTCTGGATCTGCAGCCTCAGTTCTGGATCTGCAGCCTCAGTTCTGGATCTGCAGCCTCAGTCTGTGTAATGTGTAATTTTGTTTGATCAGGTACCCCAGTATACGTCATTACACCTTTATTACACTATTACACCCCTCCTGTAATAACAATGATAATAATATTAATAATAATAGTATTAATAATAATAGTAACTCCCGAACCTCTCCGATGAGCTGGAATCCGGGAAGGAACCCTCCCTCGTACCGGGACTTGTCAATCAGCGTGTGGCACACATTTCCCACCACGGATTTGACCACAGCGTACGTCACAACGCCACTGTCATCGCGCACGCACGTAGGGGTCACTGGGAAGCTGCAACCGGAGCGTTTCAGCGTCTGGAATGACCTCTGCACGTCTCGCACCTCGAAGCACACGTTCGCCACCGTGTCCACGCCATAGGGAGCGTCCACGTCGTACAGACAACCGGAGGACACGCCATCTCCATAGTTACTTGTCTCCCTGGTTACGCCTGTAAAGTCCCATTTATTCGCTACCGGTTCGCCCGCTTCTCTGCGGTCGTTGATGACGAACACGGCGCGTCCCTTGCGGAGGGCGAGCTGGTGGGACGCGTCGCGGTAACGGGAGGCAAACGGGCGGAACTTGAACTTTGACACGAGCTCACGGGCTACTCTGTCCGCGTGAGAGACGTGCAAAGAAACGTGGTGTAATCGCTGGACGTAGGCCGCCATGTTGTTACGTCATGCGGCTGCGACGACGTGACACGCCCACAAGCACTGGGGCGCTGTCATGTAAAGGGGCTGTTTTCACGCGAGACCAGGGAGAGACCCCCTGGTCTTGATATGAACCATGGATTACTTAATTATTTAACATGTAACATATTTAATGCTCTTTGCTGAAAAAAATCAGTGATAAAAGACGCTGAAAACATTTCTGAGAATCATTAATTTATTCAAACATCACGTACTCACTACAAATCATCCATCCATCCATCCATCCATTTTCTACCCTTTAATCCATTTCTGGGTCAGGGGGGTGGCAGTCAGAGATGCCACCCAAGTCTCATAGCACCAGCCCCTCACTGACCCTCTGCAGGTGGTGAGTCCACAGGAGGACGGCTGCTCTCTGACTGTGAGCATAGCCTTGATCTTTCAGTGGGGGCTTTGGGCAAAGTGGGGTTAAGTGTCTTGCCCAAGGACACAACGACAGCAGTCATCAGTGGGAGTCGATGGAGAAGGTGCAGAGGTGGGAATTGAACCCACGACCTTCTGGCCTTAAGGCCAATGCTCTACCAACTGAGCTACTGTCGCCCCTAGCTCAGTTAAAATCATTAAAACTATTATTATTCTCAGATTACCAGCAATAAAAACCAAAAATGAGACTATATCAACTACGTATCTAACATTTCATCACCAAAAGATCTTTATAAAAATACCACATAAGTTTACCACAGAAATGCAGCTGTTTTAAATTCCTTCGAGACAAAACTGAGGGATTTAAACAGTTTTTTCAAAAATTCCTGAGTCGAGAAGTTAGATTTAACCCTTTCCTTAGAGAACAGTCAGACAGACAAAGAATCATGAGCTTTGTGTTAAAAGCTTTTAAGGATTGATTTATGAAACAGTAGCGAACGAGACCTGTTTGAATTCAGTTATTGACAAATAATAATAATGGGAATAAATGGAAATGAAGCGTTTTAAGAATGTCCATTTTGTTTTCTCAGTAGTTGGATATTATGATGACATGTTTTGACTATTTTCTGGTTCAGGAGATAGAAATCAAAGTCGCCTCTTCCTTCTGAGGAGGCTGAGGTCCTTTGGAGTGAGCAGGCCTCTGCTCAGGACTTTTTATGACTGCCATGTGCTGGGCCCCGGGGCATAGAGCGGGACAGGAGCAGATTTCTCCTGTGTGAGATCAATAAAGTCTATCTTATCTTATCTTAAATTAATCGTTTTAGGATATTATTATCTTGGTAGACTACGTTGATAGAATCTGGTAGAAATTGTTTAGAAAGGTTCATATTCATTTCTATTAAAGTCATCTGAGAAAATAATTTTTATGAACATAAACTACTGAGAAAACAATAGGAATGAATTATTCTTTGAAAGTTGATCTTGATTCCTCAGTAGATTAATAGACCTTGATGTTTGAATGAAGGTTTGACAATTGTCTGGTTTAGAAGAACCACATAAAATTAGGGCTGCGAGAAATCTATATATAGTTTATGTTTGCATTGTCCATCTGTATAGAGTCTCTGCACTGGACCAGTCATTCCCAGTCTTCTTATCTATTGTGAAACTACATAAATGGGTGAGAATTTTTTTTTTTCTCATCCATTTAATGTTTGCATTTTTAGGTTTAAAATCTCAATCGCCATCTCTTGCAGGTGTGTGTTTAGCGTCAGGGAAAGGGTTAAAACTCTGCAGAACAAAACATCCTCAATGATAAATATTGAATCCATTCACACTGACAGTAAATATTATAATAGAGAACACGCTTCTGTTACATACAAATACAATATCACAGAGAGTTGCTGCTCTCGTCAGACGGCAGCTCCCAGAAATCAATCACTTTCAGAGTCCAGTAGCTTTATCTGCTTCTGTCTACCTCCTGGTTTTGCTGGACTACATTTCCCATGAGCCACTGGGGCAGCATTAGAACTATGGTAGAGTCTTTGTGTCTCTTTTAATAACAGTTCAAACCCAGATAAATATAGCAATGCATCAAATTCCAGAAGTTGTTGTTGCTGCTAGCTTGTCCGTTGCTAGGTCCATTGCTAACTCGTCCATAGCCGCGCTTGGTTCCTTGTCGTGGAGTTTGTGTGAAAAGTGTTATTGCTTTTCTGGTTCTTGTTTTTAGTTCTGTGGTTCCAAAATGCTGCCAAATAAACATAAACATTTATAGCAGATCAATGATAGTTTCAAACCTCGATTTACTTTTAGTGGTACATATTCAAATGAATTATTGAAATTAACTATTCTAAATCAGTTTGTATTTGACTGATTTCTAATACTGGCTCTGTGCGCAATGTTGCCTAGTTAGCAAACTGTTATTGTTTAGCTTGTTGCTAGCTGTTAGCATCACTAGTTTGTCCCATTATATCTCTACCATTGTTTTTTCGGAGTCATGCTAACCAATGGAATGAAGCTTTCTGAGAACATTAGAATTGGTTAAGACAGATAAAAGGCTAAAGATGATACATAAATACAACAACTCCAGCACAAATAAACGTTATCTATGTAATAAACAGTTTATTCAAATAATTAGTTTGATTTAAGTAATTTTAGTTGAGTTAGCATGACATTTTAGCCACCACGAGCTAACAATCTGTTCCCACTGTATCCAAACCTAAACAAATTGCTTCGCACAGAGCCTATTTACTTTATTTTTCCAAAACCACTCAACGGAATTGATGTGGAACGATGGACAAAATTGAATAATAACAACATTATTAATAATAGTAAAGACAAATCCAAAAGGCTGAATCCTGAATCCACTGGCGTTTGAGGCGTGTGTTTCCAGTCCACAGTGGTGTGTGATGTTGTGTATTTCCGGTTTACAGTGGTGTGTTGTGTGTGTGTGTGTGTACAGTATCTCCGGCCCACCGTGCTGTGTTGTGTGTGTGTGTATCTCCGGTCCATAGTGTTTGTGTTACTGCTCGATGAGGTGTTCTGCCAGGGGCTTGGGGCAGAGCTGGCTGGGTGATGGAGGCTGAGGAGGGTTGGATCCTGTGCAGAGGTTGTGTGAGCCGGGGATCCCTCCTGTGGAGCCCAGTCCGTCCAGAGCTGAGGCCGAGAGAGGACCAGAGGAGATGCCCATCACACCAGGAGCAAATCTGAACACAGGCACAGGTGCACATGGTAGAGCTGCTTTACTGGTCAAACAAAACCAGGAGCTAAGATCTACAGTATTGAAAATAGTTCAGCAAACAAAGAGAAGGTGGTGGGTGTTTGTCAGCTCTATAGATTCCACTAAAACAGTCTCTCTCTGGTCTCTCTCTAGTCTTTCCATCTGGGCTCTCTCTGGTCTCTCTCTGGTCTCTCTCTGGGCTCTCTCTGGGCTCTCTCTGGTCTCTCTCTGGTCTCTCTCTCTGGTCTCTCTCTCTGGGCTCTCTCTGGGCTCTCTCTGGTCTCTCTCTCTGGTCTCTCTCTCTGGGCTCTCTCTCTGGGCTCTCTCTGGGCTCTCTCTGGGCTCTCTCTGGTCTCTCTCTCTGGTCTCTCTCTCTGGGCTCTCTCTCTGGTCTTTGGTCTCTCTCTGGTCTTTAGACGTTGAACTTGAAAAAATCTCACAGAACATTCACACAAGAGAGGGCAGAATGTGACATTGTTAGTGTTATAAAGGAGCGATTGAAAGGTTTTCTAAAGAATCTAGGAGACGGGGGATCGGGAAGAAGCCGGAACAAGACTGAGCTAGCATCATATTTACCTCTGGACTCTCATGCATTAAGTTTGTCTTGTTGGAGGCCTGTGGTGACGGCAGTGAAGCTTTGGTTCACCTGGCTGCGAGCGACACATACCTCATGTTAGCTTCACACGTAAGCACAGTTAGCTTTGTACGTTAGCACAGTTAGCTTCACACGTTAGCACAGTTATCTTCAGGACGAGAAACTGATTTTTAGGAGAAAAACAGAGAAAGAAGAGGTGGGAGGGGCGTTTGAGCAGGATCAGTACTACTGCTGTAATTACTACTACTGCTGTTACTGCTACTGCTAAGATAAGATAAGGTAGACTTTATTGATCTCACACCAGAGAAATCTACAACTGTTGCTGCTGATAAGGGGTATCCAGTTGTTCCATGGTAGTAGTATAGAGTACTAAAGTGATTAATATTAAAGCTCAGGTGTGCGTAACTTTCAAACTACAGTAGAGCTCTCAGCCCAAATAGTCAAGGTTCTTTCTTACAAAAAGATGTTTATCCTTTGAGATGAAGACAATGCTTCACAAAAACTCTTTCTGTTGGACACACTACCTGTTAACTCTACTACTACTACTACTGCTGTTCCTTGTGCTTACCTGTAGGGGGCGCCATTGAGCTCTGGGTGCATTCCCGGCTGCTCCATTATGGCCCAAGGTCCAGAGGTGACGAAGAATTCTTTATTTACGCAGTTCCTCAGACTATCAGGGATCCGCCCTGAGAGAAAGACCAGAAGTCAGAGAGAGAGAGCAGAAAGAGGAGAAAGACCAGAGGTTAGAAAGAGAAACCAGAGAGAGACCATAGAGAGACCAGAGAGAGGAGAAAGACCAGAGGTTAGAAAGAGAAACCAGAGAGAGAGTGGTGTTGTCCTCACCGGTCAGTGCTCTCCTGATCTCTGTAGCAGCTGCCTCCCTCATCTCCAGGGAGGCCTGCTCGCTGTACCAGGCCGTGTGCGGGGTACAGATCAGGTTTGGGGCGTCCTTCAAAGAACCCTGCGCAAAACTGAGACAAAAACAAAACTGGAGTTCAGAAGTCCATTTAGAAGCTACAGCTTCAGTCCTGGGTCTAAAGCTTCAGTGTTGGAACTGTCTGACTCTCTCAAACAGAGAGACCTGCTGTAGACCTGGGGCCGTATTCCTAAAGATTCTGAGAGTCCTCTCAGAGAGCTCTTATCTTAACCTAAAAACTCCTAGCTAGGAGTCTTAGCTTAAAAGTTATTCCAGAACACTCTTAGAGAACTCTGAGCAAGGAATTGACAACAACTTTTATCTTAGTGAGGAGGTGTGGCCGACCCCGTTGCTAGGTATGAGTCATCATTTCAGACGCTGTGATTGGTTGATCCTAAAAGTTAGAACAAACATATTTTTGATGATAATAGGCAAAATAAGGGCCCTAAAATGGACAAACTCAATCATGGAATCTAATCTTAGGAACACTGTGTTATTGTAAATAATAACCAAAAGCTATAAAGTCAGATATATCAATGGTACATAAATACTGTGAATAGTAAAGTTAGACTTATACACCATCATCAGAGCTTGCTCAGCACCAATTTATCACACATAATACGTATATATTATGAGCACTTATAATTTTATATATATATATATATATATATATATATATATATATATATATATATATATATATATATATATATATATATATATATACATATATATAATTTAAATATTACTCTATATATAATATACATGATAAAGAAAATTATTATTATAAACTTATAAGGAATTAAGGAAACAATATTAATATAAACATATTATACATACACTGTACAAATCAAGTACAAGGGAGCTTAAAAGTCTTATCCTCTCCCACTCCTTTTTGAGCTGGATTGTTGTTAATAAAACAAAACTGTATATTTGTACTTCTATTCTGTTGTTGTTTTGTTTGTTTTTGTCCTTTTTTCTTGTTTGCCATGGCTCAAAATAAAGTATTCATTCATTCGTACTGAATGTGTGACAATTTAGGACCACTTTTTCCTCTCTTTCAACTTTTACCATTTCTACTTACTTTTGTGTAACAAAGGTAAAATGGATGAGGTGTTATTGCTGACCAGCCAATGAGAAGCTGGTCACATGATTGACTTTTAAATATACCACAAACATGATTCCTGCTTGAATCTGTAGCGTTTCACTGATTCACTGTCATCCAGTGTATAGAATCTTTCTCCTGTCTCCACCGTCCACCATTTTGTGCTCTTAGGGAACTTTTAAGTCGCTAAAAGTCCTCCTCTCAACTCTTAAGGGATCTCCCCTTAAGAGCACTCTTAAGAGCTAGGATTTTTTAGGAATAGCTTTTATCTTAACTAGGAGCTACTCCTCACTTTTAGGGGAAATTCTAAGAGTTGGTCAATATTCTAAGAAAATTCTTAGAATTTGGCCACTAGGAGCAACTTTTAGCAGTAAGAATCTTTAGGAATACGGCCCCTGGTGTCAGACTCACGTGAATGGTTCGATCTCGTGCACGTCCAGAGCTGCTCCTCTGATCCTTCCCTCCTTTAGAGCCTGAGCCAGAGCCTTTTCATCCACCAGCCCTCCCCTCGCTGTGTTCACCAGAAACGCTCCCTGTCGCATCTGAAATAAAGGGAGAATAAATATATAAACATACATGTATGTACACATATGTGTATATGTATATGGATATATATACACATGTATATGGATACACAGTGCCTTGCAAAAGTTTTCGGCCCCCTTGAACCTTTCAACATTTCGCCACATTTCAGGCTTCAAACATAAAGATATCAAATTTTTATTTTTTGTCATGAATGAACAACAAGTGGGACACAATCGTGAAGTGGAACGAAATTTATTGGATAATTTAAACTTTTTTAACAAATAAAAAAATGAAAAGTGGGGCGTGCAATATTGTTCGGCCCCTTTACTTTCAGTGCAGCAAACTCAGTCCAGAAGTTCAGTGAGGATCTTTGAATGATCCAATGTTGTCCTAAATGACTGATGATGATAAATAGAATGCACCTGTGTGTAATCAAGTCTCCGTATAAATGCACCTGCTCTTTGATAGTCTCAGGGTTTTCTATTTTTTTCTATTTATTTATTTGTTCCTTTCATGAAAATGCTTTGTTCACATAATAATAATTACATTTTTTTACATGAAGGAAAGGAGCAGAAAAGAAGAATACAATTCTTATGTTTTTCTGCCCCTTTTCAAAATCATATCAACCCTGGGCTTTCACATGGTACCAGTTTCACCAACAAAAAATGTTTAAACAAAAAAACATTTACATATGTTTTGATGCAAATGCATTTGCAACAAATTTGCATTTAAACAAATACATCCAATTACTCAAGAGCTTCATATGATTCAATCATTTTTACTATATACAACTTTTTAAATTGAGAGATATTTTGACAACGTTTTGATTCATTTTCCTGAGCATTCCACAGTTTGACACCTTTGACCGATAAACACATTTGTTTTAATGTTGTTCGTGCAAACTGGTGTTTAAAGTCAAACCTTCTCCTGGAGTTTATTTTCTGACGTAACAGTAAACAGTGATTGTATATTTTCTGGTAGTGCTGCATTTCTAGCTTTAAAGGTCCTATATCACGCTTTTCTTCATGTTTCACACTCAATCCTATACACATGTGTGATATTAATGTGTATGATACACCACACAACAATCAAAGCTTGTGAGATTAGAGCCATCTCTTGTATAGAGGTGACGTCACCTCGACTCAAACGAGCTGATCCAGAGAAGAGTCTGCTCCTCTGCCTGTGAGCCCGCCTCCCCCCGCCCACACGGTGACGTAGCATCACGCTTTTGTCGTTTATCGCCTGTACTTAGTAATTTCATACATAAGAATAAACTTTTTCCAACGATGACAATCCGTCACATCGAGCCCTATGTCCTCGATGCACAATCAGACCCTAGTTATTTAGTTTACAGAAGTATACAGCGAGTTAGCGTCACTACTTACAGATCGAGGGGGTCTGAGTTACGTCTTTTACCGTGGGAATAACGTGTTTCCAGATCAGCCTTTGAGTAAGTCCAGTTCCATTGTCCCTGTAGTTCTGGAACAGTCTCAGTGAAGTGTCGCAGATGAACCGGTTTATAATAGATCCATGAGATGAACAGATGAAAAAAGTCGAGCCGCTTTCTTCCTCTTCGGGCCAAATAGTGTGTCACATATTTACACCCATAACACACTTAATTCAAGTTGACGTGATCCTAACACTTTTAGTTTCTGACAAAAGCATAAAAACAGCAGCTCTATGTGGTGTCCGCGAGACCAGACCACAGACGCTGGACTCGGGAGCCGGAGCCTGTGCGCTCTGATTCGCTGTTTTGATCCGTCAATCACCTCCCGCCGGCTTTTAATTTATTTATATTTTTATTATTTTTGACAAAAAACAGCATATTAATTGTGTATTGTTTACCCCGTTTTGACAAAAGTATTTAACAACTATTTTAAATACAAAGCAAACGGGGTCATGCGCGTCATGCGCGTCATCAGTGTGGTTTTCGTCACTGAAGTGGACCCGAGCGTTTCTGTGCCTCACGCTGGGGAAGGAGACAGATTGCTCTCTTACAAAAGATTGACAGAATCAATGAATAAACTACTGTGGGCTTGTGTATGAAGGCCAAATAGCATTGTAATCATGTTTAAAGCAGAGAAAAGTCAAAAACCGTGATATGGGCCCTTTAACTCATTGAATGCCAGCCTATTTCAGAACAGGTACTCCCACAGTGCCAGCCATTTCTGATGATTTTTACTGATTTTTCAAGACCCACAGAATATTGTGTACTATGACTATCTGAAATCCGACACCAGATTCTAAAAGAATGGACTGTCTACTTTCCTCAGCAAAAAGAATTTTGTTTATAGCTTTTTTCGTTCCCCTGTAATCCTCCGTCGAGTAGAGGGAAGTTTTACTGAAATCACCAGAAATCACCAGAAAGTTGAGAAAAAAGAGGCACAACGTGTGCACCTACATGTTTTCAAACCATTCAGAGAGCAATGCTGCCACCTGCTGGCTCGATAAAATATGGTCTCAAGTCATCCCCATACATATTAGATACAATAGACGTCTGGGAACGTGAAAATAGCGAAAAAGGCAATTGACGGATTAATCCGTCAATGGCACACGACGTTACTATTTGTTTTGACGTATTTGTGCGTCAATGGGACACAATGAGTTTTAAACATGATTAATAATGTCTGTAATTCTATTATATTTTTGAATTTCAACAATTTGGACCTGATGAATAGTGAGTTTGTATGTTCTCGAAATGCAGCTCTGTGTATTATACGGACAGCTCTTTTCTGTAGTAAGGATAACGATTTTATACTACTTTCATAAGTGTTACCCCACACTTCTACACAGTAAGTAAAATAAGGCAAAATCATAGAACAATATAACATTCGCAATATGTGGACGGGTAATATTTATTTAGATTTGTTCAAAATAAATACGCTTTTCGATACTTTATTTTTCACGTACATTATATGTGGTTTCCATGTTAAACTGTCATCCAACACTACACCAAGGAACTTTATTTCATTCACTCTTTCAATAATTGTGCTGTTAATAGATGGAGTGACTTCAGTATTTCTTTTTTTACCAAACACCATAAACTTTGTTTTTGCTATATTTAAAGATAATTTGTTGTCATCAAACCAAGTTTTCAGTTTTACCATTTCATTTCCAATATTTTCAGCCAGGTCTTTTAGATCATTTCCAGAAATGAAAAAGTTGGTGTCATCTGCAAACAACACAAACTGTAATAACTTTGACACTTCACAAATGTCATTTATATATGAAATAAAAGGTTTAGGTCCGATAATGGAACCTTGAGGAACTCCACACTTGATATTCAGGCATGTGGATCTCTTACCTGTTCTGTTTAAAGCGCAGAGAGAACCATGAAGACAAAGGAATACACCAGGCAGGTCCGAGATACTGTTGTGGAGAAGTTTAAAGCCGGATTTGGATACAAAAAGATTTCCCAAGCTTTAAACATCTCAAGGAGCACTGTGCAAGCAATTATATTGAAATGGAAGGAGTATCAGACCACTGCAAATCTACCAAGACCCGGCCGTCCCTCCAAACTTTCATCTCAAACAAGGAGAAGACTGATCAGAGATGCAACCAAGAGGCCCATGATCACTCTGGATGAACTGCAGATAACTACAGCTGAGGTGGGAGAGTCTGTCCATAGGACAACAATCAGTCGTGCACTGCACAAATCTGGCCTTTATGGAAGAGTGGCAAGAAGAAAGCCATTTCTCAAAGATATCCATAAAAAGTCTCGTTTAAAGTTTGCCACAAGCCACCAGGGAGACACACCAAACATGTGGAAGAAGGTGCTCTGGTCAAATGAAACCAAAATCGAACTTTTTGGCCACAATGCAAAACGACGTAAAAGCAACACAGCTCATCACCCTGAACACACCATCCCCACTGTCAAACATGGTGGTGGCAGCATCATGCTTTGGGCCTGCTTTTCTTCAGCAGGGACAGGGAAGATGGCTAAAATTTATGGGAAGATGGATGGAGCCAAATACAGGACCATTTTGGAAGAAAACCTGTTGGAGTCTGCAAAAGACCTGAGACTGGGACGGAGATTTATCTTCCAACAGGACAATGATCCAAAACATAAAGCCAAATCTACAATGGAATGGTTCACAAATAGACGTATCCAGGTGTTAGAATGGCCAAGTCAAAGTCCAGACCTGAATCCAATCAAGAATCTGAGGAAAGAGCTGAAGACTGCTGTTCACAAACGCTCTCCATCCAACCTCACTGAGCTCGAGCTGTTTTGCAAGGAAGAATGGGAAAGAATTCCAGTCTCTCGATGTGCAAAACTGATAGAGACATACCCCAAGCGACTTGCAGCTGTAATTGCAGCAAAAGGTGGCGCTACAAAGTATAAGCGCAAGGGGGCCGAATAATATTGCACGCCCCACTTTTCAGTTTTTTATTTGTTAAAAAAGTTTAAATTATCCAATACATTTTGTTCCACTTCACGATTGTGTCCCACTTGTTGATTCTTGACAAAAAATTTAATTTTTATATCTTTATGTTTGAAGCCTGAAATGTGGCGAAATGTTGAAATGTTGAAATGTTCAAGGGGGCCGAATACTTTCGCAAGGCACTGTATATATATATAAATATTCATACATATATGGAATAATACATATACATATAAATAGATTGATAATCTCGGCCCCAAACACATCTCTGTGATGTGGAGTCAAATCCGTCAGTGCAATTGTGAAGCCATCTGCCTAATCTCAGCACAAAGAGCTCTAAGACTGAATCAGGTCTGCGGAGAGGAGAGCTGTGTTTGAGACCAATCCAAGTGTTAAAATAAAACTGGGAAACGTGTATATAGTGTGGTTGATAGTACAGGTGCGACTGATGGTGTATCTGTGAGAAACTCTCAAACTCCATCCATCCATCCATTTTCTTCCCTTTAATCCATTTCTGGGTCAGGGGGGTGGCAGTCAGAGATGCCACCCAAGTCTCATAGCACCAGCCCCTCACTGACCCTCTGCAGATGGTGAGTCCACAGGAGGACGGCTGCTCTCTGAGTGTGAGCATAGCCTTGATCTTTCAGTGGGGGCTTTGGGCAAAGTGGGGTTAAGTGTCTTGCCCAAGGACACAACGACAGCAGTCATCAGTGGGAGTTGGTGGAGAAGGTGTCGAGGTGGGAATTGAACCCACGACCTTCAGGCCTGAAGGCCAATGCTCTACCAACTGAGCTACTGTCGCCCCCTCTCAAACTCTAAGAGAGTTTACTCTATGAGTAAACTATTTATAATGTATTTTTATGTGGAACAATGTTAGAAAACGGATAAGATACCCAGGACGAGAGAGAGAGACCAGAAGGAAACCAGAGATAGACAAGAGAGAAACCAGAGAGAGACCAGGGAGGCCAGAAAAACTAGAGAGAGATAGACCAGAGAGCAGAGGGAGAGAGCAGAAAGAGAGAAACCACATAAGAAACCAGCTTTAGTCCAGCTTTAGACCTGCCCAAGACCTACTTCAGACCTGGTTTGGACCTAGTTTAGACCTGTTTGATGGTGAAGTCGTTGATGAGGTGGTGGTTGTGCTCGTTCAGGTTGCAGTGCAGGGACACACAGTCGCTCTGGTACAGTAGGTCCTGCAGAGTGTAGACCCGCTGGACCCCGAGAGACCGCTCCAGTCCGTCCTGCAGGTACGGGTCGTAGAAGATCACGTTAAAGCCGAAGACCTTCGCCCGAACCGCCACCGCCTGCCCTGCACGGCCTGTAGGGGGAGACACACAGCAGAGGTATACTACAGAGGTGGATCCCTGTGTCTCTCTGGACTCTCTCTGGTCTCTCTCTGGTCTCTCTCATTCTCTCTGGTCCCTCTCTGGTCTTTCTCTGGTCTCTCTCATTCTCTCTGGTCTCTCTCTGGTCTCTCTCTGGTCTCTCTCATTCTCTCTGGTCTCTCTCTGGTCTCTCTCATTCTCTCTGGTCCCTCTCTGGTCTCTCTCTGGTCTCTCTCATTCTCTCTGGTCTCTCTCTTTCTCTCTGGTCTGTCTGGTTTTTATGGTCTACATGTTTGTGCTTCCTGGTATCAGCGTGGATGGATCTAAACACAAGTGCAGGTGTGTGACAGATGAGGAACACACAAAAACTGTCATTAAAACATTGAAAGTTACATCCCCCAGCTTTAATATATGTCAGGTTCAGGTTCACTCGCTTGAAACATGAACAAGATTCTTTTGTCTAAACAGCTGCTCAGTGAAACTCTCTTTTGTCCTTTTCCCAGAAATCTTAAAATAAACTCTGATGTCCATTTGTTTTGGTTGGATCTGTTCAGCGTCAAACTGAAGTTTTCTGTTAACTAAATCTCCAAAATCTCTCTCTCTTCTCCTCCTCTCTCTCTTTCTCCCTTCTCCGCCTGCTCGCCTACCGACCCCGATGAGCCCGAGTGTCTCGTCTCTCCTCTCCCTCCCCCCTCTCCCTTCTCCTCCTGGTTGCGTACCGAACCCGATGAGCCCGAGTGTCTCTCCCCTGATGCGTGCCGCTCCTGATGCCACCTCCCTGATCTGCTCCACGCTCTGGACCCTGGTGCCCTCCCTCAGAGCCTGGTACAGCCACGTGTTCCTCCTGTACAGGTTCAGCACGTGGCACAGAGTGGAGTCTGCCGTCTCCTCCACCGCAGCAGACGGGATGTTACACACGGCAATACCTGAGGGGGAGAGGGAGGGGGGTAAAGGGGCAGGCAACGGGAATCAGAAGAATCATTAAAAACGAGAGAGAGGGAGAGAGAGGGAGAGAGAGAGACAAGAGAGAGACCAGGGAGAGATAATTAAAATGATTAACATGATCATTAATATAGACGAGGAGCTGTGTACCCAGTTCTCCCGCTGCCTTGATGTCGATGTTGTCGTATCCGCTGCCGATGCGGATCACGATCCTCAGAGCTTTGAACTTCTCCAGGTCTTCTCTGGTCAGAGTGATGGTGTGGTACATCATGGCCCCCACCGCCTCGTTCAGCACCTGAGGACCAGGAGGAGATTGAGGACCAGGAGGACACTGAGGACCAGGAGCACACTGAGGACCAGGAGGAGAATGCGGACGAGGAAAACACTGAGGACTAGAAGGAGACTGAGGACTAGAAGGACCAGGAGAAGAATGAGGAGACCAGGAGGGGAATGAGGACTAGAAGGAGACTGGGGGGACCAGGAAGAGACTGAGGACCAGGGGGACACTGAGGACCAGGGAGACACTGGGGAGACCAGGAAGACACTGAGGAAGACCAAAAATGCACTGCAGCACCTGCAAGAGCTGATGATCTGAAGAAGTGACAAATGTGCATGAGAAAACTAGCGATATAGTTTCTATAGTTTCTTTCTGGACTCTCTCTCTGATCCCTCTAGTTTCTCTCTGGTCTCGCACTGGTCTCACTATGGCCTCTCTCTGGTCACCTCTGGTCTATCTCTGGTCTTGCTCTGGTCTCGCTCTGGTCTCCCCCTGGTGTCGCTCTTGTCTCGCACTGGTCTCTCTCTGGTCTCACTCTGGTCTCACTCTGGTCTCACTCTGGTCTCACTCTGGTCTCACTCTGGTCTCACTCTGGTCTCACTCTGGTCTCACTCTAGTCTCACTCTAGTCTCGCTCTGGTCTCGCCCTGGTCTCGCTCTGGTCTCGCTCTGGTCTCGCTCTGGTCTCGCTCTAGTCTCGCTCTGGTCTTGCTCTGGTCTCTCTTTGGTCTCGCTCTGGTCTTTCTGATGGTACCTTCTCGTGGATCTCCTGGGTGGACTGTGCGTCGCAGAAGGCCACTGTGGCAAGGTCTTTGAGGATGGGCATCTCCACGGTGCAGTCTCTGCCGTCCAGCAGCGCCACCAGGGGGCGCGGCTGCATCGGACCGTTCATGATCTGAGGACGGATACCTGCCGGAATGGAAGAGACTGTTAGAAATCAGAGGGAGACCAGAGAGACCAAAGAGAGACCAGAGAGAGACCAGAGGCAGACCAGAGAGAGTTCTTACAAATGTTGAAGTCACTGCAATGAAATATACAGTTTTAGTTTTACTCGTCCTAATCCAGGTTATTTATTATTGCTTCAAATCCAATATTTCCATTTTTCTATAGTATGAGTTTGAGAACAAAGCAATCAGATAGAAGGGAAAGGGGACATGATTAATGGAAGAAGTTCCTGATGTATGCCAAACACAACTCTCTGACTGACGGGTCTCTGACTTACAAGGAACAATGTTGTAATGAAGGGAAGTTGGCCCGAGTGTCAAAGTGAGACGGCAAAAGTCATACCAAAAAAAGGTGTAAATCGGAAGATTTATTGTAGACAAAAGCGAGACCAGAGACAATCCTGCCCCTCGGGTGTGTTTTCCTGATGAGGTTCACCTGCTTTCAATGGAGGCGGCTCCACCCACAAAGGTGCAGAATGGCCGACTAGGGTACACCCTCTTTTACAGGTATAAAATACAAAAAGGACACAGTGGCATTACAAAGGGACAACGTATCGCACTTTGTCACATGGAACATGGCTGAAAAAAAGTCCTATTTAACCCACAGCAGCCCCAGTTCAAGAGCAGGACTAAACCAGGACTAATCCAAGTCTAAAGCAGGACAAAACCAGCACTAAACCAAGTCCAAAGCAGGACAATGCAGGTCTTAAGCAGGTCTAAAGCAGGACTAAAGCAGGTCTAAACGAGGTCTGATTGAACCATAAAAAAGTCTTGCCTGTAAAACTCGGACCCCACATCATCAGATTCTTTTTAATCCAAACTCCTCTCGTTGCATCCTTCTTCCTTCCACACTTGTCTCCTTTCCTAGCTCCTCAAAACTCCTCTTTGTTTCCTAAAGCATCTCCCACACGTTGAAACACAAACAGCTTAAGCTTTGGGGAAAACGTCCCGAAACACCGCCTGCCGCTACAAGGCTAAAGGCAGCTCTGGTTTGGACTCAATGTGTGTGTGTGTGTGTGTGTGTGAGTGTGTGTGCCGGTGTGTGAGGGTGTATGTGTGTTGTGTCTCTGTGTGTATCGCTGTGTGAGTGTGTGTGTATCGGTGGTGAGTTAGCAGAAATAGCAGCTCCTCCCTGCTGTGAGGTTTTTTATAGCCAGTGTGTTACCAAAAGGAGGAAGAACAGAGAGGAATGGTCTCTCTCTGGTCCATATCTCTGGTGTCTACCTTGGTCTCTCTCAGGTCTCTCTCACTGTTCTCTCTCTAGTTTCTCTTTCTGGTCTCTTTTGTCTCGCTCTGATCTCTCTCTGGTCTCTCTTTCTCTGGTCTCTCAATGGTCTCTGTCCTTTCTGGTTCCTCTCTAGTCTCTGTACGGTCTCTCTCTGGTCTCTCACTCCTCTCTCTGGCATGTTTTCTGGTCTCTCTCTGGTCCCTCTCTGGTCCTCTTGCTCTGTGTGAAACCATATCGCTCTCCTGCACCCGACACCATGACGTCGCTGCTGTCCCACTTTGATGACATCATATAATTGTCTATAGCAGGTGGCGTCACTGTAACTCTATGGACCAAACACAAAACTATTCATCAGGAGTCTTTTCCTGGTGGTTTAAGACGATCTTCTACCTTTACTTTTGCATTTCCTCCTTTAGAATTCAGGGACCAGAGAGATAGAGACCAGAAGGAGACCTGAGAGAGACAAGAGAGAGACCAGAGAGAGACCAAGGAGAGAGACCAGAGACAGGCTAGAGAGATAGACCATAGAGAGAGACCAGAAAGAGACGAGAGAGTTAAAAGCTGGCTGTAAGAACAATGGGATAATGTGTTGAATTATGCAGAGTCTGAACTCGAGTCGCTGTCACTGGTGTTCTGAGGGTCTGACCCCAATCCCGGCGGCCAATCAGACGCTAGCTTTGTCCTCTCCTCATTCACCTTTACTGGATTATTCTGACAGGTGTCGCCGTAGTAACTTCTATTTCTGTCACAAACATGAGACATAAGCCACTAGAACAGGAACCAATCAGGAGCCAGAGAGAGAACTGAGAGAGATCACAGAGACCAGAATGACCGGAGAAAGATAAAGGTAAAGGTAAAGGTGCAATTTATTAAGAGCTACTCTACTCTACTCTTCCCTGATTGGGATTGTTTCCTCTGATCATTCTTTAGTCCCTCTTGCTCTTGCCAAGCTGGTACTAAAGTGTTCTAACTAACCATGATTGGCTGCTGGAAGCCATGGTTAGTAGAGTAGAGCAGAGCAGAGTAGAGTAGTATGGCGCCCTATTTCAGTTCAATGGCCTGTGCTCAGTAGCTCACGGGGCCGAAAGATTAGCGGGACTCGTCCATATTTGGGCATTGTCTGGTCCTCTCGGTTCTGCGGAGTGGAAGAGCTCCCATGCGCCAAATACGCCTGTGTGGCTCTCATGCAATCAGAGCTGATCATCAGAGCGGAGCTTGAACAAGGCCAGGGCGGGAAGGAAACAAGCAGAGTTTGGTGCTCTAAAGTGTGGATTTAAAGAAGAAACAAGAAAAAAAGTTCAGGATGACAAAGGACACAATCTCCACAAAATCCGACCTTTATGAAAGCTGTAGTTCTATAAGCTAGTAATACCCCATCAATGTTATTATTATAGATCCATGAGCCGCTCTCCTCCTCGACCATCACAGCAAAGCAAGTTCCCTGTCGACCTGTGCCACTAGTAGGTCTTATGCCACCTGTACTTAGGCCTTATGCCACTAGTCTATGTCTTATGCCACCAGTACATAGGCCTTATGCCACCAGTACCTAGTAAGTAAGTAAGTAATGTTTATTTTTACAGCGCATTTTTACAGACCAAGGTTACCCAAAGCGTTTTACAATGTTCCAGGTTCAGATATTGCTCCAATCACTCCACACACGGTGCTGACAGAAGCGAGACGCTGAAAAGACTGGCGCATCAAAGCCCCAACAAACACCATCCATTCACTCTCACCTTGGCCTTATGCCATCAGTAATTAGGCCTTATGCCTTTATTATGGCGCATTAAGACCACCGACACTTGAACGCAATTTCCATGCGCACTGGACGCACATTAACTAAATTTCAGATGCAGAATGACGTACTGCCCTGCTTTTGCGCATGGCGAAAGTGGCAGAAGTAGGGCTGAAGTGGCAGGCGGGCTTTGATTCTAACGCAGTTAAGCTAACAGATTTTTTTGTAAAGTTCTCCTGCAATAATGCAGCTCTGCCGCGTCTCTGCGTCCAGAAACCTTCCAGAGACTTTATATAACAGCAGTATGTGTTCACGGAGGTGCGGCATAAGTTTATTTTATAATTGAACGGTACTTTCTGTGGCATATATTCACAAGCACCGTGTTCCCCATTGTCAATCCTGGTTTAGTCCTGGTTTTGCTGTTTACAAGTGTCTTCAGTCTGCTCGCTCAGACCGCTAGTGTCCCTGTGACCACATTGCAGCTCTCTGATTGGTCGCTGCACAAGTGACCAACAGAAGAAGTTCAGCAAAGTCCATCTCCTGCCTGCGCCGAGTTGCTGCAATGCCGCATCGCACATGCAGCTCCATGCTCAAACGAACGTCACCGTTGTCTTTGCATTGAAAGTCGCCGCAAGGCATGATCCGGTCTGAACGCCCCATTAGAATTCTCAGCTGGCCTGGGAGTTCCTCAGGGTTCCCCCACATGAACTGGAGGTAGTGTGGAGAGGGAAGACTAAAACTGCTGAGAGAGGCCAGAGAGAGAAAGCAGAGCGAGAAAGAAGAGAGAGAAAGCAGAGAGAGATAGCAGAGAGAAAGAGTGCTGATCCAGGACATTGGCATCTGCCCCTTATGAACCAATGGTTCTATAAGTTTGTCATCATTGCATTCCCTGTGTTTGCACTGTTTCAATCTCTGATCTGTGTTGACGAATCAAGTGCTTTGTAAAGTCCCCCAAGATAACTACTGTTGTGATTCAGGGCTTCAGATACTTTGAATTAATGTGCGTAAATTATGGCAAAAAGACGGTTGGAAGGTGGTTTCCATGCCCAGTTCCCTCTCTTGCTAGAGCTCTGGTCTGTTCCTTTCTCCAAGCGGCGTCTATAATAAGCCTTATATCTGTGTCTAATCCTCACCCACGTGTCCCCCCCCCTCTCACCTGCAGACTGGGAGGCCGCGGACAGCTCCATGAGGATGGCAGGCTCGGTGTGGACCCAGGCTGAGCACCGCAAGCTCTACTAATGTTATTATGAAGCGGAATTACAGCCTCAGCCAACCAGACGCAAGGCCCTCCCACCGGGCTGAGGCCAGAGAACAGGGGAGAGGGGCACAGGGCTGAGGCCAGAGACCAGGGCTGAGGCCAGAGACCAGGGGAGAGAGGCACAGGGCTGAGGCCAGAGACCAGGGGAGGGGGGCACAGGGCTGAGGCCAGAGACAAGGGGAGGGGGGTACTGGGCTGAGGCCAGAGACCAGGGGAGGGGGGCACAGGGCTGAGGCCAGAGACCAGGGGAGGGGGGCACAGGGCTGAGGCCAGAGGAGGAGGGCAAGTCAACCTTTGGTCCCAAACTTTAAGTCATTGATGAAATGTGTACTTTTACAAAGTACTAAAAGTTGAAAAAACTGTTTGTTCAAAGGCTAAATGCTGTCAAGTCAACCGTGTCGCTATTCTAACTATAGCATTCAAATTCCACTGGTGGAAAAAACAAGCTGACTCAGCTCAAAACCAGAACCGGCCCAGAAACAGCTCCTTGGTAGACAAGCAACGAAAAATACTAATATATACTAATAATAAGGATCATGGATAAGGAAGAATGCTACAGTTCACACAGAAGCGTTTCCTTGTGTATGAACTGTGCTATACAAAAAACTTGCCTTACAGGACATTATTCATTCATGCCACCACCAGCATCTACACACACCAGACTCCCAATGCTCATGTGGGTGAAGTGTCTTGCCTAGGGACACAACCTGCTGTTCCCAGAGGTCCCCCATCACAACACTGGCCAGGACCTGCCCTGCTTGGGTTCTGAGATCTGAGAGGGTCAGGATTTTAGACAAAGGATAGAGACCAGAGAGAGACCAGAGCGAGACCAAGGGAAGAGATCAGAGAGACCAGAGCGAGTCCAAAGAGAGAGACCAGAGTGAGAGAGATCAGTGAGAAAACAAAAAGAGGCCAGAGGGAGAGACCAGAGAGAGACAAGTGAGAGATCAGAGAGAGGTCAGAGGGAGAGACCTGAGAGAGAGACCAGAGAGAGAGGACAGAGAAAGACCAGAGAGAGACGCCAGAGAGAGAACGGACCCTCACTCAGCCAATCAGCTCTCACCCAGGAGTCAGTATATGACTGTCTTTCTTACACAAAAGATAACATGTTTTCTAATAGTTGTTTGTGATACTGAAGGAACAACATTTATTGGATGTGTTTTCTCTGGTTTCAATCTGGTCCTGAGTCTTGCTTTTTTACCTGGTTGGACGTAATGCAGTCCTAGTCTTGTAAGTGTTTATTAGTACACATTTCACAGACCAGTTCTTGTACTTGTGTTGTACAACCATTCGGCCCAGGAGACACACAAGAAATTTGAGAAAGAGAAGTTTAATAACCAGTTGACTTTTTGGGAATTGTGTTGTTCATTGTAGTCTTTTAACTTATATTGTGTATCCTGCTGCTGTGTGAACTGTGAGACTCACTGTGTGTTTGTGTAGAGTATGTGTGTTCTACTTTGAGTTTATGCTGCAAATGAATTGCCCTTTGGGATTAATAAAGTTTTCTGAATCTGAGACTATATCCACACGAAGACAAAACGCTTATAATTTCAGAAACTTTTTCTGTAAACACGGAGTTAGCTCAGTAAATGTGTGCGTCCATATGAATGTAGTCAATACGCCTGAAAACGCTGTGAAACTATGCCAGACCTGTTGGTGGCGCTGTGACGCAATGACGGGATCAAGCCCAAACTTCCGTGGGCATGCGCGGAATTTTGTAAACAGACAACATGGTGAGTGGGCGAGCTGGTACTACATTAGTATGGACGGACGATGAGGTTGAACTGTTGCTTCGGGTCACACTGGATTACAAAACCAACAAGCTACATTGTTGTTGTCATTATTTTCTGAGTGCGGCGCATGCGTGCTTTAACAAGAGGCGGGGCGATGACGCAAGCGTCTCAGATACATTGCGGAGAGGCAGTAACCACGGAGCGGCATAAACGGAGTTTTGAAATCTTTCCACTCTGGGACCTACTTTCAAAAATGTTCGTTTACACCCCCCCAAAACGCCGGCCTCGTATGGACGATACACTGGATTGATAAAGTATTTTTGCGTTTAGGCCTGAGCTTGACTTCGTGTGGACAGGGCCTGAATCTGAGATGATATAAGTAGTAATACTAGTAGAAGTAGCAGCAGAAGCAGCAGTAGTAGTAGTAGAAGTAGTAGTAGAAGTAGTAGTAGTAGCAGTAGTAGAAGCAGTAGTAGGAGTAGAAGTAACAGCTGAAGCAGTAGTAGTAGTGGTGATCGTAGTAGTAGTTGTGTAGTATTTGTCCCCAGACCCAGATGATCCAAAATGGTGTAGATCCTGGTGATTGGCACCGCTGGTCACCTTGAGCAGGACCAGGAGTAAATAAAACACAGGAATAGCTCGGGTGGAGTGTGCGTGGTTGAAAACAGACGCAGGTCGAGCTCATTACATTTAATTGGATCAAGTTAAATCCTGATCAGAGAGAGAGCGAGGAAAGTGACAGGAGTAACACAGGAAACGGTCTGGACATGAACTGGGACGTAAACATACAGGGGTCCTCCATTTAAAGCTGGGGTACGTAACTTTCAGGCCACAACAATAGAACTCTGTAATAAAGTCCATGTTATTCACTGCACGCTCTGAAACAGCCTGTTATTTTCCCAGACCATTATTGGATAGTGATTAGGAGAGAGACCATAGAGAGACCAGAGAGAGACCAGAGAGAAACCCGAGAGAAACCAGAGAGAGAGACCAGAGAGTAGAGAGAGACCAGAGAGAGACCAGAGAGAGACCAGAGAGAGACCAGAGAGAGATCAGAGAGAGACCAGAGAGAGACCAGAGAGAGACCAGAGAGAGACCAGAGAGAGATCAGAGAGAGACCAGATAGAGACCAGAGAGAGACCAGAGAGAGATCAGAGAGAGACCAGATAGAGACCAGATAGAGACCCGAGAGAGACCTGAGAGACCCGAGAGAGACCCGAGCGAGAGTAGAGAGAGACCAAAAAGAGAGTAGAAAGAGACCAGAGAGAGCCCAGAGAGGGACCAGAGAAAGACCAGAGAGAGAAACCAGAGAGAGTAAGATGAGAAAGAAACCAGAGAAATACAAGAGAGAGAACGGAGAGAGATCAGAGACCAGAGAGAAGCCAGAGAGAGAGACTAGAGAAAGACCAGAGAGAGAGACCAGAGAACAGAGGGAGACCAGAGAGACAAGAGAGAGAGAGAAAAAAAGAGAGAGAGATCAGAGACCAGAGAGAAATTGCCAGAACTATTTAAACTAATATGCTAATCCGTACCAAGTAGCGTCCATTTCCACAACATAATATGAGGTTTGAGCAGTGGTGACAAAACATAAAAAACTCATTATTTCCAAACAATAAAATCAATATAATGTCGACTTGAGGCCAAAGGGTTAATGAGTTACAACCAGCAAGAGAAAATAATGAGATCATAGTTCATACAGGGACCAGAGAGACACCAGAGAGAGACGAGGAAGAAGACTAGCGAGGGACCAGAGAGAGACGAGGGAGACTAGAGAGAGACCAAACAGAGACCAGGGAGAGACCAGAGACCAAACAGAGACCATAGAACAGAGAGACTAGAGAGAGAGACCAGATAGAGGCCAGAGAGACCAGGGAGAGAGCAGGGAGAGACCAGGGAGAGACCAGAGATATTAGCGAGAGACCAGAGAGAGATGAGGGAGACTAGAGAGACCAGAGACCAGAGAGACTAGAGAGAGACCAGAGAGAGACCAGAGAGAGGCCAGGGAGAGGCCAGGGAGAGACCAGGGAGAGACCAGGGAGAGACCAGAGGGACTAGAGAGATCAGGGAGACTAGGGAGACCAGAGAGAGAGAACACATCGAGAGACCAGAGAGGCTGAAAGAGAGAGTGAGCTACAACACTGTAAATTCCCCGCTGTGGGTCAAACAAAGCTTCTTTCTCTGTGTTCTGTTTGTCTCCAGACTCTAACCTTGACTCTTACTTGTATCTGGAGCAGGCATCATGGTGGACATTATCACCGGTGGTCCTGTCCGGCGTCCCACCATCTTCTGGTTCAGACTCTGCGCCTGTATTGAGTTGCTCGCAGCCTGCGCCGCCATTGCCGCGTCCTGCACGGCGCTCATGCCTTTGCGCAGCAGCTGTGGACTGTGCATCGGGCTCGCGGCCATCATCGGCGACGCGGGCGGCAGGTTTGTGGGTCTCTTCATCAACTCCATCGGCGAGTACGACCCGGAGAAGGTCTTGGGAGCAGCACCTGGAGTCACCGCAGATACAGATTGAGCTTGCGCGCCAATCGCGGACATGGCTAGCCCTGTGTGTGCGTTGTACATCGAGAAAGACCTAGCTTGGTTGTAGTCTGGGCTCACTGGGTATGCGGCTAATGGTCGAGCTCCAGCGTATGTCGTCTCTAACAAGTGTTGTGAAGGCGCGCTGCTCGGTCGTCGTCCCATAAACTCTCCCATCCGCGGCGAGACGTTAGCTTGTGCGCCGGGCGGAGGCAGAGGTGGAGGCTGGTGCATTAGTCCTGGGTCCATGCTCAGCCCGTGTGGCATGTAACCCGCATGGCTGAAGCTGTTTGACCGGCCACGCATCGCCGCCCCGCCGCTCTTACAGGTGGCCGCGATCCGGGTCAGAACCCGCGCCTGCGCCAGGTTTGGAGCCACGGAGCGCACGTCGTGATCCTCCATCATCCCCAGCATTGTGGACGAGTCGAAGCCGTGTTGCAGCAGCAGCGTAATGGTGCTTTCGGCCAGCCCCTCGCAACGCAGGAACGCTAAGAACGCAGGGTCCGCCATCTTCTTTGGATCGGCGAGTGCAGCCGGGTGATGCATCCCAGTGGCTGTGGCGGCGATGACGGCAGAGGACGGGTCGTAGTTCGGGTCGTAAGGCAACCTCTGCGACGCTACGGCTCCGTACGGTCGCGCCATGCTGCCGTCCATAATTTGATTAGCCAAATCCAGAGTATAGTTGTTGGACTGGTAAGCCTGCTGCTGATTGGCGCCTGCTTGCTCCGTGGCTCTGCTGCTGCTGTTGTTGTAGATGGGGAGCGTGGCTTGCACTGAGTAAAGCCCAGGTGAAGCAGCAGCTAGCCTCTGCGCGTCTGACATCATCTTAGCCCCAGAGAGAGTTTCCCTGTACAATCGGCTCAACTCCAGGACGGAGGCGGGTGGGGGAGGAGGCGGGGGAGGTGGAGGGGGAGGAGGAGGGGGCGGGACTGGTGCAGGAGTCGGCGTGGAGGCTAGCTGTCTATTGGCTTGATCCCACGTAGCAGCAGAAGAATTAGCCTGTGCAGGGGAGCTTAAGCCGTAATACGAGGCTGATCTGGTAAGAGGTGGCCGCTTATCCCTATAAAAGCCGGCCTCGTCTCCTGCCACGCTGCGCACTTCGCTCTGGTAGTACTCCTGGGCGCCTGCGCCGTTCTGCACCTGGGTGTAGAACCCACTCAGGTCCGGGGCCGAGCTCTTACGTAGCAGCTGCAACCGCTCGGGGCTCAAACCAGCGCCGCGCAGACTCAAATCTGACTGGTTTTCCACAAAAGAGTACCCCCCCAGGTCATAGTCGCCCAGGAACGAGCCGCGCCTGGCCATGGTGCCGCAGTAGGTGCAGCGGCTGCTCGGTGCGTCGTGGCCGAGGAGCTGCGTCTGGAGGCTGGTCATGGCGCTCACAAAGCGGGAAAAGGATAATAGCGAGGGTCGGGGAGAGGGTTGGGTTACTGTACGCTCTGGTTTCACCCAATGAGGCGCGAGCGTTTGCGGTTTGTTAGAGCGACACGTGGAGAGGCGCGGCGCTCAAAGGATGGGCTCCTCCCACTGCAACTTGGGTTACGGTGTAGTTTGGCGGCCGGCTGCTGAGGCCGATCTATTATTCACAACGTCGAAAGACGAGGACCAGAGAGAGATCAGAGAGAGAGACCAGAGAAAGAGAGATTAGTGAGAGAGACTAGAGAGACACTATAGAGAGACCATAGGGACCAGTGAGAGAGAGCAGAGAGATGAGAGAGTGCAGAGAGAGTAGAAAGAGACCTGAGAGTGAGTAGAGAGAGAGAGACCAGAGAGAAACTAGAGAGACCAGAAAGAGAGCAGAGAGAGAGACCAGAGAGAGCATCATCAATTATTCAAACGTGGAAAGACGAGGCCCGGAGCAGCTTGGCCAGAGACAGAGATACAAGTTGTGGTTTGTGAAGTGACAACAGTTTTAATCAAGGAACGAAATGTGCAATAGAAAAAAAGTTATGAAATAAAGACTCACTACTTTAATATTCTTGCACTGGTACTTCAGATTTATCTACAGATGTCACATACAAGTACAAGAATATTTTTATTTCACTTCAGTATAAGATTTATGACATTTTGTATTTCTTATAGTGCTATATTTAATATTAATTTATCTCGTGCTGTGTGCTCCTCATTCTGTTGTTCTGTAACGTTGTGATGCAACACTGACATTTCTCCACCTTCATCTGAAATCTGGCACTTGTTCCACTTCATGATCAAACAGGGAAAATCTCTATGGCAACTAGTCGGCAGCAGAACCAGGTTGACAAAAAACAACACAATATTAAAGGAGCAAAAACATTTTCTCTCTGTCACAGCACTGTTCCTTCTCTCAGACCTGCAGCTGTGTTTAGATCCATCCAGGGATCCCATGCTCTCGCTCCCTCTGTCCAAACACTATTTGTCATATTCAACGTATTTGTACATGTCTAAACCACAGCAGCAGTCGTCTCTGCGGACTTTACAAAGTTGTGGACTCACCAACAACAGATCAGAGAATGCAACAGTTCAAACACAGAAAATGCAGTAATAACAAACATATAGGGACCATCACTGTTAGTTACTATCACCAACTAGTTACTTTTGAAGTATATTATTAGGTACAATCACTGGAGTCAGAATTATTAAAAGGAAACACGTGAGGTCATTACAGAGAAAAAAACGTGTGTAGAAACAAGTGAAACAGCAGAAGGATTTCAATCTCAGAACAACGTCCTTCGAGAACAGTTACTAACTTACTCACAAACTTGATTTTTCGTAGCTTTCAGTGTTTTTTTGTTTTTATTTGAGAACCATGTCCTCCTGTGAGGCTGGTTGACTGCAAGAAGCTTCCTGAGTCCCAGACCAGAAGAGGTACTGTGGTAGACTTCTTATCCCATGTGGGGAAGTCTATAGAGACCCAAGACAATGGGCCTCATTCACGAATAACTTCGTAAGAAACTACTCAACTTTCTTCTCAAGTTGTCCTTAAGTAGATTTCTAAGAAGTCCCCACGTGGGATTCATCAACGCACTCGTAAGCCGCTGAATTGTTCGCAGCTGTTCTCTCAGATTGATGAATCCCATTTCCTCGTAAGTACAGCGCGCGTGCCAGGTGCTTCATTAGCATAGGTACTTAGCATAAGTAACCGCCCATTAATGCCCATATAAGGGGATGCAGGGCCGTGTGCAGACGGCTGAGGAAACAGCAACAGGCCTAAAGCAGGCCTTTTTTCTTCTTTTACCAGACTGAGAATAAAGTTATAAAATGTTGACTTAAAAGTCGAAATATTATGATAATAAAGTCGAACTAGCAAAATTATGAGATTAATCTAAGAATATGATGAGATGAATCTCAAAATGTTATGAGCTTAATTTAAAAATATATTATGTATTATTTTAAAGATGAATCTCAAAATGTTTTTTTTATTTTATTTTTTTATTTTTTTTTTTATTTAGAGAAACAGGGACAGTGTACAATAAACATTAACCCCAAGGGGAGAGATGCATTGTACCAAGTTATAGCTCAAGAGCTAATTTCCACCCGTAGTCCCTGGGCAGGCTGATGTTATAGTAAAAAACATAAAAACATCATGCACACATGGATAATGGCATTTACATTGATCAAGTTCATAATAGTAAAAGCAAATCTTCACATGCACAACAATCAGATACAAACTCTTATACACAGATTTTGAGATTAATCTCAAAATATTTTGGACCCTGGGAGGAGATCCAGTGCGGACCAGCGCTGAGACCAATGCAGACCCGAGGAGAGACTGGAGTGACCAGCACACAGAAACCAGCGCGGACCTATAGGAGAGACCGCATAGACTGGAGTGACCTGACTGGAGAGACCGGTGCGCAGAGACCAGCGCGGACCGAAGATAGACCGCATAGACCAGACTTGAGAGACCAGCGCGGACCCGTATGGATCCAGGAGCATGCAGCACGGACCCGTATGGAGAGAGACCAGTGCAGACCCAGCGCGGACCCAGTAACCTCCTGCAGCAGCAGTATATATGCCGTTGTTCTGTGGCCCGTGGATAAAGAAATGCCCCCTATAAATAGGAAGGGGTCAGTTCCTATAAATAGGAAGGGGTCACTAATACACGGCAAGATTTCCAATGTATTTGATAAAGCGTTGGCACATTTCATTTCAAAATGAATTAAAAAGTAGGCCAGATCTGCAGTGAAAAAGGCGGTATATAAATAAAGATTACTAATAAAGATTACTACAAATAAATAAATACATACATCGATATGACGGACATATCACTGGAATGTTGTATTTTTATTAAACTTCACCAAAGAGGACAACCCCGGCGTGTGAACATGTCGGCACTGAATGCGTACGAGTGCTCCTGAGGACTCGTAGGATTTGTACTTGCCCAAGAGAAATTCTGGTTACGAGAAATATTCGTGAATGCCACTTTCTTCGTAAAAACCGCGTAAGTAGGATTTACGTACAAATCTGTTCCTAAGAACCGTTCGTGAATGAGGCCCAATGTCTCTATAGACATGAATGTCTCATTCATGTCTATATGTCATGTCATGTCTATTCATGCGGCACGGTGGCTGAGTGGATAGCACTCTCGCCTCTCAGCAAGAAGGTCCTGGGTTCGAATCCCGGTCGGACCAGGGCCTTTCTGAGTGGAGTTTGCATGTTCTCCCCGTGTCTGCGTAGGTTTCCTCCGGGTACTCCGGTTTCCCCTACCACTAAAAATATGTCCAATAGTTCTGGCATGTGCCTCCTGTACTGGCGACCCTGCTCCCATCTCTGTGTGGAGTGAGAGACAAATGCCCATAATTAACAATTGTAAACCGCTTTGAGACTCAGATCTGCAGTGAAAAGGCGGTATATAAATAAAAACTTAACTAACTTAACTTAACTCATGGGGGGATCGAACCCACAACCATTTCGCCCAAAGACCAAAGCTCTACCAACTAAGTCTGAGTGTTAGTCTTCTCCAGTCATAGTATTCATTCATACAAATATGTGATCTAAAGCTGTTATCAAAGTGAACATTCTTTACATCCTGTTTCTGTTGGTACCTTCACAGATGCGGTCCAGCCTCTGCCTCTTCACCTTCTTGTCCACCGCAGTCATCACTCGATCCAGACTTTGTTCTCGGCTCAGACTCGATCCAGACTCAGTCCAGACCTGGTTCTGTCAAAACTGATCCGGACACATCGCCGCGGGCTCCTGAGGACAGAGCAGAGATATTAAAGCTGGGGAACCTAACTTTCATATAAACAATAATACAAGTTTGTCCCAACAGAAAGACTCTTCTTCACAAACATGATCTATTGTGTAATAAAGAGCCCTGTGAGTCACTATCTGACTCTTTGAGCTGAGAGCTGATTGGCTGAGTGAGGGTGGTCCTCTCTGTTTCACTTTTCCATCTGAAAAAGATTATCTGAAGGTGTGACAGAGGCCAGAAGCACATGAAACTAGAGGTGGTACCTCTCTGATATATCTCTGGTATCTCTCTGATCTGGTATCTCTCTGTATCGCTCTTCTCGTCTCTATGCATATGCATGTGAAAACTAACGATAAAACCAACTGTTTTAGAGCCAGGAACCAGAGACATGGATTCTATGACAGAGTTCTATTGTTGTGGCTTGAAAATTATGGACCGCAACTTTAGGTAGGTCCTGCGCACACACAGCTAAAGACCAGAGAGAGAGACCAGCAAGAGACCAGAGAGAGGAACCAGAGAGAGACGATCACTAGTGTTTTCGGTCTCTGTCCCACCACTGCCTCCATGTTAAAGTGTGGGTTTGTATCAATAAAACATGTCCGGCTTCTTTGCTCTGGCCCAACTGGGTCTGCATTTATTGAAGTACCACATTCAAGTGTACAGTCATTGTTGTATAAACTGGGCGGCATGGCGGCTGAGTGGATAGCACTTTCGCCTCTCATCTTTCTGAGTGGAGTTTGCATGTTCTCCCCGTGCTTGCGTAGGTTTCCTCCGGGTACTCCGGTTTCTCCTACCTCTAAAAACATGCACACTAGGCAAAAGCCTGACCAAGCCGAGAATCAACATCTGGAGATGGGTTCCCGGGCGCTGTACCACGGCGGATCAATTAAAGTGCACCTTTACCTTACTCTGGTTCACCCTCATGTGACTGACCCCTTGTGGTGTATATCATATATGCAGTACAATCAATATACTACAACTTCCTTTTCAGACAGTAAAGTGAAAAAGAGAGGACCACCATCACTCAGCCCAAAGAGTCTGATAGTGACTCACATGTTCTCTAATATAATGAAGACAGTGTCTGTTTTCTTCACAACATTTTACTTTAACAAGACTGTTGTGTCCAACCACAATAAACTTTGCACTGCTGCAGAGTAGACAGCTCCCTCTGCTGGACAATCACAGGCACATGTCAATTACTTTATTTGCAAATGCACTAGACTGAGACCAGAGAGTGGACCAGAGACCAGAGAGAGAGGACCAGAGACCAGAGACCAGAGATAGAGGACCAGAGACCAGAGAGAGAGGACCAGAGACCAGAGAGAGAGGACCAGAGACCAGAGACCAGAGATAGAGGACCAGAGACCAGAGAGGCACAGGTGTGTAGCAGGGAGAATTCAATGAGAGTAACGGCAGGAGATACTCGAGTCTTCCAGTTTTCCACTATAGTTCCTTTATAGACATGTCCTCAGACCCATCTTCGGTCTCTTCTTGTTCCTTGGATGATATTTTATTTTCTTGGTCCATGTTTTAAATAATACCAGCAGCATCTCACCAGTACTGGGTCAAACTAGCACCAAAGCATTAATTCTATATTTCCACTTTTCTCCCCAAAACTCTCTCTCCTTCACAATCCCTTTCACATATTACCTTCTGCACTTGACAAAAATCTGTGAAAACGTCGATTGGATTATGCAGAAGTGAAGCACAGACATCTGCCGGAGGCCCTTCCTGAGCGCTCCTCTCCCCAGGACCAGGGTCCGTGTGGGGGGCAGCCTCACGGACAACATGCAAATCAGGGGCCGGGGTCAAGAGGACAAACGCCGCCACAAAAGCAGTTCCCACAATTTAGAGAGAGGCGTTTAGGGACAAGACTAAAAGGGATGTTGGGGTTTGGTCACAATCAGGTTAAGGTTTGGGTTGGAATAGATGACAATTAAAAGAAAAAAATTAAATATATATAGTCGTACATTTTTATCAACATTTCTGGACATAAGTCTCTGTCCCCTATGGACCTGGGACCAGAGAGAGAGAGAGAGAGAGAGAAACCAAAAATACCAGAGAGGGAAACCAGAAAGACCAGAGACAGACCAGAGAGAGAGACCAAAGAGAATGAATGTTTTATTTGGATGAGAAAACAAAAGAAAAAACAACCAGAGAGAGACCAGAGAGAGAGACCAAAGAGAGAAACCAGAGAGAGACCAAAGAGAGAAACCAGAGAGACCAAAGAGAGAGACCAAAGAGAGACCAGAGAGAGACCAAAGAGAGAGACCAGAGAGACCAGAGAGAGAGACCAAGAATGAATGAATGAATGTTTTATTTGGATGAGAAAACAAAAGAAAAAACAACCAGAGAGAGACCAGCGAGAGACAATAGAGAGAGAGACCAGAGTGAGGCCAGAGAGCGAAACCAGAGAGAGACCAAAGAGAAAGAGACCAAAGAGAGAGACCAGAGAGAGAGACCAGAGAGAAAGAGACCAAAGAGAGAGACCAGAGAGAGAGACCAGAGAGAGAGACCAGAGAGAAAGAGCCCAAAGAGAGAGAGCAGAGAGAGACCAAAGAAAGACAGAAAGATTCAAGTTGATTTCGTTCCCTTCACGTCTTCAGACCCAACTTTTTCAGTCTCTTCTTGTTCAAACTCAACAAAAGCTCCTTTAACAAACCCTCGCGTCACTCTCTGCTCTCTGCGTTTGGTCTCTGTGGGTTTAAACTTTGATCTGTGTTCAGGTCTGAAGCCGAAGCCCCGTCTACGATCGCTCTTTCTAATGACTCCGCACGGCTTTTACGTTCAACATTTTTGGGCCTTCGCCCCTAATTTGCAGCGCTTCACTGGCTTTCGTTGCAGATCCGGAGATAATGAAGCAGCGTGTGTAAACAAGCAACAACAAAAGACAAAGAGGATAATGGGAGAGCTGTCAGAGGGGGACGCGGACAGAGGCTCAGAGTCAACTTTAATGAGAGATAGATGCTAGCTCACATTAGCATTCAGGAAACAGACCAGAATCGCCACAACAAGGGAGTTACTACAGTGTCATTAATGTTGTGATTCAAAAGTCCACTAATATTTTGGATTCCCAAAGTCTGATTTAAAGAAGCTGTTGAGCATGATGTGAAATGCAGCCTCATTTATTATGGTTTATTTATTAGCAGGCAATGTGGGTCCTGTGAGGACCCCTACTGGCGTCAAGTAGCTCTATAAATTGCACCTGTTTTGTTTTAATAAATTGATTGTTTCCTCAACTGGAAAGCTGGCTGCTCGCGTCTATTGATGGAAAACACAACAGGTTATGGGCCCAGCACGCTGTCTGGCCAACGTTTCAGTCGGCTGCTGTTCGATGGTGATGAGAGGAACTACGAACTTTGGGAGACGAGATTCCTCGCGCATTTGGAGTTGCGTGGGCTTGCCGGGACACTGAAGACTGAGCCGGTGTTCGATGGGGCAGCTGAGGGCGTTGAGGATGCACGAGTTGCAGACGCTGGGAGGAATGGACAGGCGTATGCGGAGTTGGTCCAGGTTTTGGACAATAAAAGTCTGTCGCTGATTATGAGAGAGGCGGACGGAGACGGGCGCAAGGCGTTGAAGATACTTCGCCATCATTATGCAGGCAAAGGGAAGCCGCGTATAGTAAGTTTATACTGCACGCTGTCAGCCCTCCACATGCAAAGCAACGAGACTGTCACAGATTACATTGTTCGAGCCGAGACGATATTTGCAGCGTTGTCGAGGGCAGAAGAGAACATTAGTGATGGTCTGCAAGTTGCAATGGTTGTGAAAGGTCTGCCCAACTCATTTAAGCCGTTTGTGGTAAACATTACACAGATGAGCGAAGCCCTAACGTTCAGTGACTTTAAGACAAAGCTGAGAGATTTTGAGGACACTGAACGATACAAGCCAAGCGATATCACAGAAGACAATGTGATGAGAGCAGCGGGGGCAGCCACCTACGGGCCACAAGGACGAGGCAGAGAGCGGAGGAAGGATTCGGCCGAGATCGAGTGCTACAGATGCCGTAAAATGGGACATGTGGCAAGGAATTGTCCCAGCGCGTATGAGGAGAGGCGACGGGACCGCAGGAGCGACGCGCCACGCCGAGGGGGACAGCGGGACTCCATGGCAGCAGCGACGGGGGAAGAGCAGCAACGAGGAGCCACAGACCGCTGGGAGCGCTGGGCTCGACCCGAGAGGAGCGACAGGGACCAAGAAGGACCCTGCCCCTGGAGCGCCTACAGAGAAGCAGCAGATGATGGAGACGAGGACTACTATGAAGACCACAGGTCGTATTGTTTTAAATTGAGTGACAACAGGAGTTCAAAGGGGGCAGTCGATGTTAAAGGTTTACTAGTCGATTGTGGTGCTACATCGCATATGATAAATGACTTTAAAAAGTTTAAGAACATTGATAAAGACTTTAAGCCTGTAAACCATGTGTGATTGAACTAGCTGACGGTACCAAGATCACCGGAGTGGCAGGCGCCAGGGGGGATGCAGAGGTCTCTCTGGTAGATAGCCATGGACATAAAGTGACAGCACTACTGAAGAAAGCCCTGTATATACCTACTTTTCCACAAGACATTTTCTCAGTAAAGGCAGCCACAGGCCACGGGGCGGAATTGCATTTCAGAGAGGGTGATAACTGGATGGGTGTTACGGATGGCACCAGATTTAACATTGAGACCCACACTAAACTGTATTATCTACCCACAATTATTGATGCAGACATTGACAAGTTTAAGAGGTGTCACGATATACAGACGTGGCACAGAATACTTGGACACTGTAACTTTGAGGATGTTTCCAGATTGGAGAGTGTGGTTGAAGGGATGAAAATCAAGGGGAAATGTATCAAGTCTGCCTTCAGCTGTGAAGTCTGTATGGAAGGGAAGTTCGTAGATAAGAGAAATAGACAGGCTGATAGCAGAGCTAAACAAATATTACAACTGGTGCATACTGACCTATGTGGTCCTTTGGAGCCTACGGATAGGGATGGGTATAGGTACACCCTAGCCTTCACAGACGACTACAGTGGCATGACCTGGGTCTATTTCCTCAAGGCAAAAAGTGACACTACCAGAGCAACAGAAAAATTCTTAGCTGACACAGCTCCTTATGGCAATGTGAAGATTATTAGATCGGACAATGGGACGGAGTACACTGGTAAAGAGTTCCAGGATCTTCTCATGAAAAATAGGATCAGCCATCAGACTAGTGCCCCTTATTCACCTCATCAAAACGGTACAGCAGAACGAAAGTGGAGGACGTTACTGGACATGAGCCGGTGCATGTTACTTGAAAGTAAATTACCAAAAACTCTATGGAGATATGCAGTGCAGACAGCTGCACATATACGTAACAGGTGCTATAGTAGGCGACTAGGCAAAACTCCATATAATATTTTCACAGGGAAAACTCCAAATATTTCCCATATGCTGATTTTTGGTACAGAGTGCTATACTTACAAGCATAATCAAAAGAAATTGAGTCCTAGAGGTGAAAGGGGCATTTTCGTTGGGTATGATAGGTACAGTCCTGCATACAACATCTATTTTCCAGAGACCGGAAGAGTTTCCCGGCATAGACTAGTGAAGCCCCTACTGACACTGGACAGTCAGATATATAGTGACGAAGAGGATGTTGGACTGTATACAGCACCACCAAGGATCGGTGTACATCCCCAGAGCCACCAGATCGAACCCACGGGTGCAGCAGGTGGAGGTACATCACCCACTCGCCAGACCCCTGTTGCGGGGGATGAAAGCGGTGCAAAGTCTGGTATCAAAGGAGATAGTGAGGGGGCCCGTCGCTATCCAAGCAGAGATAGACAACCCCCATCATATCTCAGGGATTACCAATGTAAGACGGAGGACGTTGTGGAAGAACAAGACATTGATCACTTTTATAGAGCGGTGTTTGGTGTACCCAAAACCTACACAGAGGCTGTGAGAGCTGAGAGGTCCCATGAGTGGACTAAAGCAATGGAAGAAGAAATGCACTCTTTAAGAGAGAATGAAACATTCTCTCTATGTAAGCTCCCAAGGGGAAAAAGGGCAGTAGGGGGCCGCTGGGTGTTTGTAGTCAAAGAAAGACCTGGTCAGCCTGAGGTTTTCAAAGCAAGATACGTGGCAAAAGGCTACAGCCAAGTAAAGGGGATTGACTACAAAGAGACCTTTTCCCCAACGGCCAGTATGACATCTGTGAGGATATTGATGCAGATAGCAGCCCAAGACGACCTTGTACTTCATCAAATGGACGTGAAAACGGCATATCTTCATGCCCCCAATGGACTGTGAGGTGTACATGGAGCAGCCAGAGGGGTTTGCGATAGAGTCTGGGACTGGTGAACGCTTGGTCTGTAAACTAAATAAATCCTTGTATGGTCTAAAACAATCTGGACGCAACTGGAACAAGCTGTTAAATGATCACCTAGTGGTTAATGGTTTTGAACAAAATGCGGCGGACAATTGTGTTTATGTTCGACAGTCTGGGGCTGAAAGGGTCATTTTGATAATTTGGGTAGATGACTTGTTAATTGCAGCCAATAACGAAAGGCTAATCTGTGAAGTAAAAGAAATGTTAGAAAATAAGTTTAAGATGAAAGATCTAGGGGGACTCGGTACCTAAGACATTTCTTAGGTATTGACTTCACACAGTGTAAAGGTGAAGTTAGAATGAGTCAGACTAGACATATTGGAAAAGTGCTCCAGAGGTTTGGGATGCTTGAGTGTAAACCAAGACTAACACCTTGTGAGCAAAAGTTTGATTTTGATGATGGAGTTGAAATGGCTGATTCCACAGGCTACAGAGAAATGGTTGGGAGTTTAATTTACATTATGACCTCTACAAGGCCCGACGTAAGCTGGGCGGTCAGTAAATTGTCCCAGCACCTAAAACGGCCAACACAACAGCACTGGGAAATGGCCAAACAGGTATTACGTTACCTCAAAGGCACTATAGACCAGGAACTGTGTTACAGACGAAAAGACCCAGGCCTTAGACTCGAAGGTTATAGCGATGCTGACTGGGCGTCAGACCCTACTGATAGGAAGAGTACTAGTGGTTACTGTTTCAGCCTGACCACAGAAGGTCCAGTAATTTCCTGGAAAAGCAGGAGACAGCCTACTGTAGCTCTGTCGACATGTGAGGCTGAGTACATAGCCCTTGCAGCTACTGTGCAAGAGAGCATGTACCTCATACAACTTCTGGGTGGGATGGACAAGGAAAGACAGCACACTCCAGTAAAGATCTTTGAGGACAACCAGGGTACAATTGCTCTCTCCAAGAACCCAGTGTGTAGACAACGTAGTAAGCATGTGGATGTTCGCTATCATTTTGTACGGTCTGCACACGCTGATGGAAAAATTATAATAGAGTACTGTGCAACGGAGCAAATGGTGGCAGATGTGCTGACCAAACCCTTAACAAAGGTAAAGTTTAACACTTTCAAATATTATTTGTTTGGACAATAATGTAGTATTGTATTTTCTTTGTTTATCTCTGTTTTGTATTCTGTAAAAATGAGCCTGAGTGGGGGTGTTGAGCATGATGTGAAATGCAGCCTCATTTATTATGGTTTATTTATTAGCAGGCAATGTGGGTCCTGTGAGGACCCCTACTGGCGTCAAGTAGCTCTATAAATTGCACCTGTTTTGTTTTAATAAATTGATTGTTTCCTCAACTGGAAAGCTGGCTGCTCGCGTCTATTGATGGAAAACACAACAGAAGCTATACCTGATTTATTTTCTAATGAGTTAATAAAAATGTGTATTACTACATACAAGTTGTATTAACATTTAATTGAAATTTAATTGAAAACTTGAGCTCATTGATTCAACTTATGTATGAATTCAGACCGTAAAAAGTACTGAGTAGAACCATAGCGTGACATGCGTTCTCCTCCACTCACAGAACGAGGGGTGGCGCTATTACGAACAGGTTGCGTCCTCTAGCCTCTACATTGCTGGTAAACACAGTAGCATGTTAGCAGAATTGGCTATAACTCCTCTTGCTGTAACTGCAGACACAGCAAAACAGCCCAAAAGACGCAACAGTGAGGAAGAGAAGAGGGAACTAAAGTGAAAACATGATCAAGACCGGATGAATGTACGTAGCGTTTAACCTGGCAAAAGCCAGATTGATGATTGTGTAGAACTCGAACGCGTTCTCCCCGATATCAATCTGGGATTTCTCCCGGAGAATCCTTTCGGGGAAAGGAGGGGTAAGCAGCAGAATACTTGAAGCTGATTGGGCGAAGTGACGCTGTGTGCCCGCCTACCAAGGTTGCCGTCCAGAAATGTACAAAGCGCCTCTCGCTGTTCATCTTTCAAAAAAGAAATTGGAGATTCTGCTAAAACTGACTTTGCGTCCGTCCTCCTGCGTAGCCATGTTTGTTTTGCTTCGGCCCGGCACTTCTTGCTTTCGTCAAACCCGGATATCCCGCCCTAAACCCCCAGACTGGCGCGTGATTGGCTCGCACACCCAGTGGTTCGACTCGAAAAGTGTAAGCGGGAGCGGTACAAGATGTATTCTCAAGTGTTTGTGAACTCACAAATACCGCGAGAATTCAGCTTGCAGGCAAGGTTACGTAGCGTTAGCTTACGTCGCATCCTCTGGAGAGACTTGCGGGAGCGGGACCGCCTCGGACTACATTTTGATGTGAAACTAACTCTTTCAGTTATATATTTTGTTAGCAGTGCGTTGCTTTTGTACCATTTCATCAGTGATTGTTGTACAGCTTAAGTTGCGCTAATGCTAATGTTATCATCAGATCGCAAATAAAACTAGATGGCTCTGTGGAATGAGAGCGTAGGGGAAATGAGAAGTCTGTGAGCGAGTTGAGGGCGGTGCTAAACATTCAAACCTTGCAGAAACGGGTACAGCTCCTTTAATCCTCTGAGATCTCAAACTGTGCACACATGGTACACACACACTTCGTATCTGCATGAACCGGAGCAGCAGTGACCAGCAGTAACCAGCAGGGGACGCTGATGTGGGACCAAACACACAGAGCAGAAGAACAGTCCAAGGTCAACACAGAATAATAATAATGCATTGGTTTTATAGGGCTTTTTAAAAAAATATATAATTATTAATCATAGTGATTATTAAACAACCACAGTTTGGCACTTTACATCCGCAGCCGCCCCAATGTGGCACCTGATGTTCTCAAAGGTCTCCCATCACGGTACTAGCCAAGCCCTGCCCTGCACAGCTTCAGTAGTCTGACAGAATCTGGCTTTCGTTTACAGTTAAACAAGACTCAACATAACTTTATCTAAAAGTACATATCAGCTACATCTCTCTGAGTTTTTACCCATATCCACATTGGTTTATTTTACTCAGACAGACCTGGAGTTGCTTTTAGATCCATCCTGGCACGCACTGTTAAGGTGCTGATCCTGCAGACTCAGACCACAGCAACAGAACAGCAGAGGTTTCTGTCAGAGGAGCCAGAGGGAAAAGTCCCCTCTGTGTGACTTCTGTGTCCAGTTCATGATGGATAAGGTCAGGGTCAGATTTATTTCTTGTGTCTCGTCTCGTCCACAAACATGGAGTGTGGAGATAATCATCAGTGTCTGTGACGGCCGCTCTCTGCAGATGTCCCACTCAGCAGGAGGGACCAGCAGAACTGCCTCACTTAATCCTGGCTTGGTTCTGGTTTAATCCTGCTTTAGACCTGCTTTAGACCTGCTTTAATCCTGCTTTAGACCTGCTTTAGACCTGCTTTAGACCTGCTTTAGACCTGCTTTAGTCCTGGTTCAGTATTGGTTTAGTCCTGCTTTAGTCCTGGTTTAGACCTGCTTTAGTCCTGCTTTAGTCTTTCTCCAGTCCTGGTTCAGTATTGGTTTAGTCCTGGTTTAGTCCTGGTTAAGACCTGCTTTAGTCCTGCTTTAGTCCTGGTTTAGACCTGCTTTAGTCCTGCTTTAGTCCTACTCCAGTCCTGGTTCAGTATTGGTTTAGTCCTGGTTCAGACTTGGTTTAGACCTGCTTTAGTCCTGCTGTAGTCCTACTCCAGTACTGGTTTAGTCCTGGTTTAGTCTTGGTCCAGTCCTGGTCAGTCCGGGTTTAGTCCTGGTCAGAGGGTCCATCTGTCCTGCACAACAGGAAACACCACAAATCTTTGGACCCGTTACATCGATAGACGACAGAGAGAGAGATTGTTACTGAAATATGCAACTTTTTATCAAACTACATTTCTTAAAGAGCATTTCGACAGAAGGGTTGGGGGTTCATGTTTGTGCCAGAAGTCCCAGATATTAGTCCATCCAAATTCCTCCACCTAAAACTAGATATGACAGAGAGAACACAGAGAGACCAGAGAAAGACCTGAGAGAGACCAGAGAGAGACCAGAGAAAGACCAGAGAGAGGGACCAGAGAGAGGGACCAGAGAGAGACTAGAGAGAGACCAGAGAGAGACTAGAGAGAGAGACTAGAGAGAGACCAGAGAGAGACCTGAGAGAGACCAGAGAGAGACTAGAGAGAGACCAGAGAGAGACTAGAGAGAGAGACTAGAGAGAGACCAGAGAGAGACCAGAGAGAGACCAAAGAGAGACAAAGAAAGAGCGATCAGAGAAGGACCAGGCAGAAAGACCAGAGACTTCAGCAGGACTAAACCAGGACTGGATCATGTCTAAACCACACAGAAAAGTCCCGTAGAGCAGCTTTAAAGACTTCAAACCATTCTCCTCTCACCTGCCTCCTCCGTACATTAACATTCTCCGCTCACACCTTAATGAGCGCCGACTCCAGCGTAACCCGGGAAACCAATTAGAACGCATGCTCGGAACATGAAAAAGACACGGGTTTCCTTCCAACAACACGACTCCGCAGCCACATTTAAATAACAGTAAACAAAGATTGATCAAAGTCACATTTCCCCATCACATGTTTCACAGATCAAACATGCCCATACGTTAGAGGTGGATGTTGTTTTCTCTGCGGAAAAACAACGGTATCTCAGAGTTCATTTAAAGGATAACTTAAAGCTCAGGTATCTAACTTTTCTGTGGAAATAAGCAAAAGTAGTTTGTCCAGAAAAATAGTCTGGTCAAAGTAAACTGCAAATCAGACCACAACATGCTGTGTAGGGTAGAGGAGAGCAGTAGTTCCCAAAGTGGGGGTCCCAGTGGGTCGCGGGATAATTTTCATACATTTTAAATATTTGTTGCAACTGATTTGATTCAATAGGACTACTTGTTAAATTGTGCGCAAATATAACATATATATATGTTAATAATGTATTAATAATGTATATGTATAATGTGTTCTCTCATTAACTTTTAAATGTGTTACGGAAACGTAGGTGTAGACCAATCAGAAAGGAAGGCTCTTTCTGCTCCCCTCCCCGCACCCACGAAGCTATCTCCCCCCACACACACCCACTGTTGGGACGGAGCTAGCGTCTCCCAATATGGATAATACATGGATATGGATTAAACGTGGATGGCGTGACCAAAGAACGATAGAACCGGGAAGCGCGGAGGAACGGGACTTTCTTTTGGATGGCTGTCTCGTTGTGTAAGCAGAAACAGGTGACGAAGACACACGAAGCTTCAGGTTAGCTCCGCCGCTTGTTGTGCTAACTCAGGCGTCTATGCTAACAAGACCTGTAAATTTCTCACGAAAGTGGGGGCAAGTGGTCCGCTGTGATTGGTCACAATCCGCGACCCGAAACACATTCTCTTCCTTGTTTCATCAAAACTCGATCTAAAATATAATGTCACACCAGCACAAATCTGCTAAACTTTTTCTTCAAAAGGACGTATATTCCAATGCACTACATGGACATGGATAGCATTTTCGTAATGAATACAAAAATAAAGTCAGTTAGTGCAGCTTTAATATTTGAAGCTGTAATGGGTATTATCTTTTTTAAATGATATATGAAAAATAGTTAGTTCCCAAAGGTTGCACCGTGATGTGGCTAGGCTAGGAACAGCTATGCCAGTAACAGCTACGCTAGCTAACTAACTAGAACTCTCTGGAACTACATGAAAACTTAACAAAGAATTCTGAAAATCAGCTGTGAGTTACATATTTATATACCGAACCTAAATCCATCAGATCCTCTTCAAATGTATCCTAAAATGTTCCACTAATAGTTACTTCCTGATTTTTCGCGATCGATTTTGGTCAGATTAAACAGTATTTTTGCCATGAAAACCTCTGTGCACATGTGTTAAGAATGTATATGCATAATGTATTCTTCCATTAACATTTAAATGTATTGATTGATTGATATTTGTGTTATTGAGCATGGCTAGCTCCGATAGCTTCCCTGCACAGACAGAAGTAGTGACATATTCGAATATTTAAATGAATGAACAAACAAACTTCGAATATGATTTTTGTGCAAAAGTCAAAGCCCTCGTGTGTATCTGTATCTGCGTGTCCAGAGAGACTTTTACAAGACTCTTTCTGTTGGACATACTACATGTATTATAAACTTGTTTATATCAAACAAGTAAAAAGCTAAAACACTGCAGCTAACACTGCTCTGCATTAGCATTAGCTTGAGTGGATCTTTGGCCCTGAGTCCATTGTCCCGACACGGCCCATATTTCCTCATTGATTTCACAGCAGCAGCTCACTCAGCACAAGTCTCCATTGTTCCTGAAGTCAGCTGAGGTCCGTCTCCACTGCCATTTACTCCACATCCTTGGCTGAGAACAGTGTTATATGGAATTGGGAGATAATCGCAGGCGTTAAAGGAGAGCGGGTGATTTGGGTTTTAAACTAGACGTGTCTGTATTTGTCTGTTTGAGTTTGGGAGAAGAAGAACTGCAGAACTATCTCTAGGAACACATGCAAGTGTCGCATGCACATGTTATTTACAGTTTTTAACCATGTTTCAACTATAGAGTATACAGATGGACAAGGCTAACCTGCTAGTTCCATGAAGCCCAAAAGGGAAGGGCTCGTGGATGAAGTTTTTCTCCAACTTACAGAGAGAGACCTGGGAGAGAAACCAGAGAGAAAGGCCAGACAGACACAATGTAAGTCAATAGCCAGAGCGAGTTGGAGCTAAATTTGGTTCATGAGCACTTCCCAAGTGAACTTCATAGAGCTAGTGGGTTAGCATTGTCAATCTGTATACAGTCTATGAAACATACAAAGCTATGTTTTCATCAACTGTGTAATAACTCAAACCAATAAAATAACTCGCTGAGGATCTGTCTTGCCCAAAGTGCACTGGGCAGAGCTGGAAGTGAACCACACAACTCTAGAGCTAATCCTACAAGCCCACCTACTCTACAAGTGTCAATTTATTCAAAAAGATAGAATGCTTCTCATAATTTTACACTCATATTCAACATGTGGTCTCTGAGACAGTAGACAAAACACCAGTAAAAACAACGGAGAACCAAACAAAATTAGATGAAAATATTGACGCTAGCTTGAACTCTGCCACACAAACATTGGTTTGCCTTTATCCATTATTCTCACACACTGCTTAGAGAACTGGCTGAAATAGGCCATTGCTGAGTAAGCCAATTTTAGAGGAATCCTATTAAACCTTTGTAAATGATTCCAATTTGACGTTTTAATACTTATTGAATGAACAATGCTGACTCTGTCCACGTGTCATTCACTAGTAATAATGCACAATACAGAGAGACCAGAAAGAGCAGAAAGAGAGAGACCAGAGAGGGACCAGCGCGACCAGAGAGAGGGACCAGAGACCTGAGAGAGACCAGAGAGAGACCAGAGAAAGAACAGAGAGAGACCAGGGAGAGACCAGGGAGAGGGATGAGAGCAGAGAGAGACCAGGGAGAGCAGAGACCAGAGAGAGACCAGAGAGAGACCAGGGAGAGACCAGGGAGAGACCAGGGAGACCAGAGAAAAACAATAATTAAACCAGAGTTGATATGTGTTAACAAAGACGTGGAACTTTGTGACAGATTGGTCAGAAATTAGCTCCAAACTCAGACTAGAATCTGAATTGCCCTCGCAAAATTGTCACTTTATCAGCTATAAATTATTGTCCATATGCTGCTCTGTACGTACCCATAACGTATTGATAGTATTCTGTCAATGCTAATCTTCTGTATTATTAGTATGTGTTTTTGTGTTTTTAACAGACTCAAACGTATGTATGGTGTGAGGGCTTTCATAGAGATATTGCGTGAACTGTGTGGGGATGAATACAGACAATCATTGATTCTTCTATCGTCTGAGCTAAACATCAAACCAGTTGGCTGGGCTGTCCCATCAATAGATCAACAACTCAACTTAAGCTGTGCAATGTTTGTGAACAAAAAAATTACCCACAAACTACAGAAACCCGAGTTTTTCCAAGCTACAATCTGCTCCACGCTCTTTAAACTTGCCGTAACCCAATATACTTGATAATTACTTAGCATTCGGGCTTCAGGGCTTTGCTAATGACGCTTTGAGCCACGTTATTATGTTAGCAATGATGTAAACAGGCGTAGCTTAAACACATTCGCGGTGGCGTGGAAGAAATGTACCCCCGAGAGACTGCAAGACCATTGCCCATCTT